ATGGAGTGCCAGGAGTGTGGAGTCTGACAGACATGAGCACTTTCAAAGAACCCACTATAATTATTATATTTGCTTTTTGTGGATGTTTTAGCCAAAAGGCACTTCTTTTAAACAATTCTCTCTGCAGATTTTTAAAAGTATACAGGTGTACATACTCTGAACAAATGGATACACAATACACTCCTTCTTACATAAAGACATTAAAACATATCAAATCAGTTTTAAAGATTATAATACAACTAATTTTGCAGCATATATATATCAACGTTCCTGTAATAGATGTACACCTTGTAATAGATACACACCTGATGTACATCTTTAACAATAATATAATACTCTGAATTCTATTACAGACTTGTTCAATGCAAAATACACAAATTCAAAGATTCAAAATGTAAATCCAGATTTCATCAAATATAATTTTGAAGATGAAAAAAATACCACAAATGAACAATACAATGAAAATGTATCTCCTTTAACTGAACACATCATGTTAAAAGAAAAACCCACATCAAAACCTACTCTTTCCCTTTTCATTATAAAAACTTAAAACATGACAAAATACCCTCTTGGATAATTCCACTCAACGATAGATCCAAAGTAATAAAACAGGTTTCGATGCCATAAACTCATATGAATAATAATTGCGTTGTCATATAATAGACTTGCCAGTACATAATGATACAGTAATGATCACCTCTAGCAGTGAAATGCTCACACTCTAAAACAGATCAGTAAAAGAATTACCACATCAAACAATTAGGTATACATGGACTTTGTTATTCAGTTTCAAATAAAAATTCTTTAAATATCTCTATTATCTACAAATAAAGTTGTGGATAAATTCTTTATTACTTTGGATTGGAATTTCTGCATGTAGCATGCCGCGATATCAGAATATGTGGATACTGGATAACTCCACATGGACTTGGCAATTGGTAAATAGATTTCGCAAACAAATAAAAGAACAAGTAAAAATTATTCATTTTTATAGATTTGGAGTCTCAATAATTGTACCTTACCTAAAGTTTAGTACTAAAGTTATCTGTCTATACCAGTATAAAAAATATTTAGCAAATCAAGCAACTCATCTTATCTACAGTTACCAATGACATAGTGCGTGCTAAATATATTACATGGCGAAAAAACTTACTTTAATGTATTTCCAAGAAGAGCAATGTGTGAATTACTTTCATTTAGTTTGCATCATCTTAACTGGTGTTACATCAGAAGTCTGCTTTTAAAACAGCACATTGTCAACTTTAAAGAATATCTGCAACCATGTTTAACCTCATGCCTGCTTCAAAGGATTGTGAGCAATTGTTCTAAAATACTTTCAAGAGTCAACTATGGAGCTTAAAACAATCTTGTTGCTTTGTTAAATTTGGCTATAAATATTTTCTATGTGAAATTTGGTGTACATGTAGGTGTCTTTTTCTACTTCAAAACGAACGAAACAAATGGCTAGTTTTCATTTGAACATATACAAGAACAATATCTTGATTTGCTGCCCATGGAAAAGAAGAGATACATGGGTACAAATGACAAAATAAAAAATAAAGAATAGATAAATATCAAGACAGTCTAACAGTTTCCTGCACGTGCATTTAATAACCACTGGATTAGAATTAAAATCAGCTAACTAGATATAAACCTGAGTGTATATGTATGTATGTATGTATAAGAATAAATTTCCCACTGGAATGTCGATGCAAGGTCAAACATGCATGATCACCCCAGTGATCTTTACACAGGGTTTACAACTTTTCCTTTTCAAGTCGTCTTTAAAAATGATTCTAAAAAATGTTTCATTCCTCAACAAAGCAAAGTTGATTACCTTGAAAACTGTTTTAGGCACCATGCGCACAACAACATGTATCAAGAATGGTTTTTAGTGATTTCTACCACAAGTTTTCAACATTTTTGAACAAATTTCTTTTTACTATATCTAATTTTACCAGGCAAGATTAAAGTAAGTTCATAAACCAGAGTATTCGGTCAAAATTAAATATATTTCACCTCTTAAGATGAGCTTTTTGGATAGATGCCAACACGTTTTATGATTTAATGGCTCAAACTAGTGGGTGGTACTGTGTACATAGTACCCATATATACTAAGCACTGAACCCCAGGTTCAAGTACAACTGCAGGGAAACGTCACTGTGCAGCCCAGCATACATGTACATGTAACATCTCGCATCACCACTGGTGGATCAGGCATCACTAAAAAGCTGCAATATATATTCACTTTGTTCATAAAGCCCTCAAACATGTAATGATTTCCAATTGTCATATTGCAGTTTAATGAAACAAATGTTATAAACTATGTTGAGACACAACCCGCTATCATCCATGATCATCGTTTTTGTAGCGATTGTGGAATGTTTACTCAATGACATCTATGTATGCCCACCACACACTATACAATCCATCTGCAATATGAAATTTATAGAAATGGCATTACTGGAATCTTAATTATGAACCTCAATTAGAAAGGTTTTTACATGCGTAAGTTGTCATTTCTAGAGATATTGCAATTGCACCCAATAACGGATTGCAGTCAGATCGTGCAATATGTGGTGAGCTTTACAAGAAAGCAGTCTTGTCTTTACCATACATATCATACATAATCATCTGATTGCATTGACTTGTGCAGATGTACATGCATATCAATGAAAGGACCATAGTCATCATTGTCACAGGTAGATATCTCATCATTGCCCTGTAACATAAAGGATTGCCATCGATTGTGTCAACCCTAAACGGCATCTCCTTCAATCAGTCGTATCTTTGCAATTAACAACTTACGATCAAGTATTTGTGACAGAAAGATACAATCAACTGTAGCATGTATGGAGATCCCTTAAAAGTGAGTTCTACGATGCATCCAAAAATACTTTACCTGCGCAGCAGGGGTGCAATATTTAGATGTATCATAGATCTCATTTTGTATTCTCAAACCATCCTGATGAAATTGAGATAGAGTTCTTTTTTTCTTTTCTTTTCAAGATGATTTTCATGATACAGGGTCCCAAATTCCCAAGTTCTTTCAGGCTAAGACACGACTGCTGGACCAAGTTCTTTAAGGCTAAGACACGACTACTGGACCATTCCTCCAGCTCTGGCAGCCATGTTCTGAGCTTTAGCTTTGGCATTGTCTCTGAGTTTGGAAACCTCATGAGGTAGAGTATCAGGTACTTTCTCAGGCACAAACAGCTTGTCTACGATGTACTGGATGCCCTTGTTAGACTTGGTCAGGTTGGCTTTATAGCGCTCTACACCGAAAGCCATCAGGGCTCTGGAGAAGCCGTAGAGACTGGAGTTGACCCACACATGTCTCTCTAGCTGTGTCCAATCTTTGTTCTCTTCTGATTGCGAGAATACACACTTCTCCTCAAGGACCTAGACATAAAAATAAAGAAAAAGAAAGAAAACATTGTCAAAGCCATTTCAAAAGTTACTCCTGCCTGCTCTTTTTCATTTTTGTCCTTCAATTCCCTCACTTTATTATATTCTTTATAAAGGGTAAATCATTATTCTGATTTGGGGAGTGAGGTACTCTCTCAAATTCTAACACCTTGCAGTAACAGTTTCTTCACATGCTCTGAATATTTACTCACACACGTAAAATATTTTAGATATTTTGCACTCTAACTGTTCAGCCTTCTATATATTGCCTTCTATATTTAATATATTAGCTGTAAAAACATAGTCAAGTTTCATGGGAGTATCGATGCTGACCTGAGATTTCACATGTGAAAAAAAAAGGAAAAAAGAAAAGATCTGGATAAGTTTTAGGACAAGGCCTTTGTTATTTTGTTCTACCGATTTATTCTATTCTCTCTGTTATTGTTTACAAATTGGTACTCTACGGCCTGATTGGTAATTAGGCCCCAGTTCTTGAAAAGAGAAGAAGTAATGACCCAGAACAGTGAGATTGTAATAATAATATTCAATACAAAATAAGTTGTGTGAATTTAAACCTCCAGTATTGTGAACATTGTATCAACTAGGATAAGTTAGCTACATGACATGAACCGCATACATGTTGTGAATAACATAATGACCTGCCATTCAATCTTACCATGAAATTCTGGTAGCCTATATTCCTTGTGTATGTGGTCATTGTCTTCTTCTCGGGATCCACAACGCTCTCCTCAACGATAGAAACAAATCTTGAGTTTCCTCCAAAGAGAAAGCCGCCCCACTTAGGCATTCGGTTGGTCTTGGTGAGTAAACGAGTGCTGTGCAGCTTACAGTCTGGGCTAATGTAGCGAGATACTACATCTTCAGAGAGCACATGTTTACTGAAACAAAGATTGTACATCAGAGAGAATAGTGAACTACATGTACATGTAGGAAAATGAGCTGAGGAACGTTGAAGGATATAAGGCAAATGACAATAGAAAAATTCCCTTGTCATACATCATAAATATCATAGAACTGTTATTTTGCAATTCACTAATGATTATCTTACACAAGGTAAATAAATGAAATTATTTGGGTAATTATTGACAGGGAATTTTCATGGAAGCCACATATTAATTCTGTTTGATCTAAAGTCATAATAAATTTCTTTATGCTGAGGAGAATAAGACCGTACTTAAGAGTAACCACCGCTACTCTTTTATACATAACAATTATTCACCCTCAATTTGATTATTGTAACAATGTGTGGATGAAACTGGATTCTATGCCTCTGAAAAGGCTCCAAATACTTTCAAGACAGAGTACTAAAAAGGATTGGTTGGATTCCTGATCCAGTAGAAGTCTCTTTATGAATTATATGAAACCGTTTCTACAGATTGTTTAAATGTAAAGGTGAAGAAGACCTCATTATTTTTATGTTCAAGTTGTTAAATCTGTTCCTTAATGTATTAAGATCAAAATTTGAAGTTTAACAAACGCAACACTCTCTCAGAAATATTGCCTGGATTATTTGCATTCACAAACCCTACACCAATCTTTTGAAAAAAGCAACATACATGTAATCACTACCAGTCACTTATTCAATAACCTCCCTAAAACTGAAAGAACACAAACCAAACTACCAGCTTTTATCAAATGGATCCAAACACATCTTTCTAAAGATATCTGTGATTCGATCAAATACGTTTTGTGTTGATTAATCCTGTTTTCCTTCTTCAACGTCTATTTTCCCTACTATACTAGCTCTCTTTCTCCTTTTTTTTCCTTCTTCTTCCAAGTTGTATATAGCTGGTATCTATTCATTATAACTTATATTTTTTCTTTGTAAATAATTTTATAAATTTGATATTGATTTTATTTCTTGTAACGTTGTTGTTTCCTGTATACAGGCTTGCTGAAAACAGCCTTTCGGCTGAAGGCAGGTTTTTAAACACACCGTATCGAGAAAAAACAACAACAAACATATACAATATGTTACCTTGACATTAATGTAATGTGACACATTGGTGACACGACATTTGCTCCTGCGACAATTGCTCCGGGCTTTATTTCGTCTAAGATGTAGGGTTAGGGTTAGGGTTTCAATAGGGTTTTATGTTAGGTTTAGGGTTAGGTTTAGGGTAGGGTATAGTGTTGAATCCAGGGTTGAAGTTAGCCATTCGATTAGTGTATGAAATTTACAGCGGAGCAATTGTCGCCGGAGCAAATGTCATGGAATCGACACATTACAATAAAAATCTACTTGACAAAAGGTTTTTATAGTTCCCCGATTTCAATATGCAGAATTGCAGATCCACTTTCTGCTTGTAATCAAACAAATCATTATCACTAGAATTTCCAAAATTATATGACTAGGGCAAAGACACTGAATTTTTTTACGCAAAAGTTGCTAAATGTATCGAGGACACAATTATATAAGACAAACAAAAACATACTTCCAAAATTACAACTTCACTTAATGTGGATGATGAGTCCTGGTAAAAGTATAAGACAATTTGAAATATGTTTCAATGATTTTCTTCATACACTATTGAGGAGAAATGTCATAGAAGTGAAGTCAAATGAAATGGATAGCTCTTGAAAATTGAGACAAGATAGTTTTAATCTTCTGACTACATATTTTAATGCAACGTGTGTGTCTGAGGCTCTGAGCGATCCATTTAGACTATGGGAAAGAGAGACTTCAGTAGTCACTGGGTTAATAACATACCTGTATGGTCCTGGATATTTCTGCCAGAAAGCAGAGGAGACTTGGTCCCATGAATGTTTGAATATAGTAGCTGCTGTGAAATGCTTCATTTCTCCGCTCACAGATCAGACTTGCTTGAAAGATGTTCACAGACGAGAGTCGAGAGCAGATTCCTTAAAGTAAATTTCCTTCAGCCTTTTGCTGATCTGAATTCTGTAGATTAATGAGAATAGTCTAATTACATTTGTTTTCAAATACATAAACATTGAAGGCAATAATAACTAAATCATAAATGTACCAGCCAATTTGTTTAATGACTGAATTAGCATACATCAATTAATACAGATTTAGAGCAAGCATGCCCCGACCAGGAAATGCACACAAAGCGACCGTTTGCCAGGAATGACAACTGACTTCTGATTTTATTTTTCAAACAAATTCATAGTACTTTTTCATTTGCATAAACGAGGATTGTCTTCGTATTCGTCCACAAAAAATGAGGATTGCCTCATTTTTCACATAAGTTTCATATATCTGATCCACTCGTTGGTGATGCGAAAAACGGATTACGCAATGATTTTCTTGATGCAATTTACGTTGACTTTGTATAGAGACTTTCGCGTCATGAGCGATAAATCCTCGGGAAGACGGACAACCCATTAAAGTAGATGGTGGACTGGGGTTATTTTCTTATGCGGAATCTGTTTTTTTGCAGCGCTTGTGGGCAGTTCAGGATCCCGAAAAACCGGGAGAGTGCCGATGACAAAATATGTCAGCAAAAATGGCGACGATCCTTATTTTTGAGGACGCAATTTGTCCACGTTTAAGAGGATATCCTCCTTAATATGTGGATAATCCTCATTCTCAGACCAGCGCCCTACTAATTTTGGTCGCTAACTTTACGCACGCACTTGTCAGACACTCACTGTCGGTATGCACTTATAATTGTGCAACGGTTTGCCATGTAACCTATGAGAAAGTGTAGACTAGTAGGCCTAATGGTCTTCGTTATCTATTTTAGGAAAATACTTTTTTTAAAAGAGAAGAAAATTGACACGAAACAGGCAAGAAAGATAACAACTTTTAAATCATGACCAGTCTTTGAACAACTGTGGAAGATATATATGATGATTTCTGGTGTGTTAATAGTAAGGTATCTCCACGCCGGAGTTAGGGGTCCAAAGTGTGGTTACAGTTGCGAACAATTCAGGTTCATTTGCCATTTCTATAATCTACCCATCACAAATTGAAGCATCCGGGACTACAATATAATCTTACACTCTCTTCACGTGTCGACACACCGACGGAGGGCGGAGTGGAGCTAGAGTTAAATGCATTTGCTTTCATATTTTCTTTGAATTCTTTAAATAAATAAAATAAACAAAATGAACAGAACATAGGTTGGCACTTACTCATCATTTTAAACGGGCATTTTCCACCAATATTACAAAAATCGAGACGCGGTTTTGGCCTTCGCTTCGTTCGACACACCAGGTACAGCTCGTTCCAAGCAATGACGTCATCACGGCAATATAATTTTTTTTCTCTTTGCCTTTTCTGCACGTACGTTCTTCTGGCCGAGAGAGGTGTTTGTTTTTTTTAAGAAAAAAAGAAGAAGAAGAAGAAGAAAAAGAAGAAGAGAAAGAAAAAGAAGAAGAAAAAGAAGAAGAAAAAGAAGAAGAAGAAGTTTTATCTGACCCTCTGCGTGTGTGTGACTCTCTCTGTCTCAGTGACAGTGTGGCTGCCTGTCTCTGTCTGCCTGTCTGTCTATCGCCCTCTTAGCGGAATCGAAAATGACCCCCATATTTACCACAAACAGGGTTAATAATATATAACCATAATTTTGGCTTATCGCGTATAGGCCTACATATTCACATTTCACAGCAGCATTCTATTTTCACAAAGCAGGTGAAAATAATGCATTCGTTTGCAAACATCGTAAAATATGAGATTTTGCGTGGAACCTCTTGCTCTAAAAAATAAATGAAAAACAAATAAATATCCCCTTTTTTCAAATCAGTAAAATGTTTGCGGATGCTTCCAAAATCACACCGTTTTAACTTGTTTACTGTCATCCCTAGGCCTATACACAAAACTAATTACATTATACCACTAAGCATGCATGTAGCTTACGATCTCTCTCTCTCTCTCTCTCTTTCATCTTTCATCTCTCCTTTCCCTTTTCTCTTTATTTAGCCTTTCCCCATCCTCTCATTTTCTTCTTTACTTTTTGTTGTCGGTCTCTCTTTTTCTCATTTACAAGGTCTATATACAGACGGAGATAATTATCTCTAATAATTATGTCTGCAAAGAGAGAAGAAGAGGGACAGAATGTGGGTTGCCTTTGCAGCTCTGTGGAAGTTGCTTAGTACTTGTACAACTACACGTTTTCCACCTTTATTCTAACTGAATAGCCCCCTCTCTCTTTCTCCCCCTCTTTTTCTCACTTTCACTATTCTGCTCACTTTCCATCTATAAATTTGAATCATTATTATGTATTTGTTTTTTCTGAATTAGGAGTAAGACCATTTGTTTTTGCTTATAGACGTCATTTTCTGGATAGGATAAAAATTCATAAGGAGAGGCCTTGGTCTTCCAACATTGTTTTTCGCTTGGGGAAACATTTTTACGGTAAGTCTTGTTTTTCAACGCAATTATATAAAAAAAGAGCAAACCAATATTGAAGCAGCAAAGACATTTTCATCAAAATAAAATATTGGCTAAAAATGATTGCACCTCTCCTATTTTAGTTTCACATTATTGAATGGAATTAGGTCGAGAAATTTGAATTTGATTGGTATATAGTACAAATTTCATTGTGTTGTTCTTTGTTGATTGTTTTTATGTGTAAAAGTAGTGCTATTTAATATAAACCAAATAATTATCCATTCAACATTAAAGGCTTTTTTAAAAACAAAATGTATATATTTAGGGAACATATTTAGAGATACAAACATATTAAATACACGAAATTTGTTATAAAAGTGACTCTGACAACTTCACAAGGACATTTACAAATAATATATGTACGTTCTTAGAAGAATACAGCCTATTATTGATAACCTTTACCTTTCATGTCCGTGCTTTTTGTATTGTATTTCTGTCTATTTATCATGCAAATCTATTCATATAATAATAAGAAGAAAATAGGTTTGTTAATTTGTTGCAAATGAAAACAAATAAAATCCAGGAGGGAAAGATATGAAGAAAAAAAAAATTATAGCCCAGAACATTGTGCGTCCGGACTGTTGATTTGAAATTCAGTAAATTGCAGAATTTGTCATGCAAATATATTTCATAAATCTATAAAGACTATTATATTCCATTTCATGTGGGCTTTTGGCATCAGTGAAATTAACTCTGCTGAAAGAAACTCATAATTTGCCAGTATGTATATGCCAAATGTGTCGTTCTATTACGAGGTTGTTTTCCATGAAGAATATAATGCACGGGATTTCAACTAATGCGTATAGCATTAGTTACCCCAGCTACCCCAGCTACCCCAGCCAATCATTTGATTATGATCCACACGGCTTTGTTAAAATACTATATCAAAGACTCACAGTGATCACTAATATAGTTATTCTTATGGTATAGTAATCCAGGCGGAATTTACAGTATTCTATGGAACGTAGAGTAATCGATTCGGCGAACGTTGTCCGACTTTCGAAATGACGTCTGTCGTGGCGTTGTCTATGATCTCCTGCTTGAGTTGTGTTGGTGATTGCCCACGTGTGTTACCTAGTGCGATAGCTGCAGCCCCTGTAGTATTCAGCAAAAATACCAAAAAACAACAAATGAATTAGCAGTTAAGATATATCGTGCAATTCGTGGATATTTTTTTTCAAATCAGATTTTGCCGTTTAAATACAATTTTATATTCTGTTTAACAATTGCATTATAGGATGGTTTGTTGGTTCCAATATCACGTAATAGGTGACATAGATAATCAAAGATCTTATCTTGTATGATTGTATCTACCATAGAAACGTTGCCATCATCAATATTTTCTACACAAATTAGAACGATATAGAAGGCATCATAAATCATTCCTCATATCAGATATTTTTCATACTTGAGCCCACTCTTACAAATCTTTAACGTAGACTTATGACTAACAAGAATCAATAAAGTTATATGATAGTCAGATGATAACGGAGAATTTCAAATGCTTTCAAAGGGCCCGATATCAAAGATCACTAAGTATTATCTAACATATACAAACATATCAAATGACTATCGCCGACTCAATAAACTCTCGCCCAATAAACGATTCGTCGTTGACAAAGCTCAAATCAAGGGCTTATATTTTATGGGGGAAAAGTAGGTATACGTGGCCTTATTTTTTGGGGTAAATCCGTGTCCTTGATGAAATGGGGTACCGGTTTCGCCTATTGACACCCTGTCGACTCAAGCAACCGGCAGCGATATTATTTACATAATAATATGGTTAGAGCATGTTCTTTTCAGTTGCTGCAGCAGTCTGCTGCAGCACCACTCTTATCACGTTGATTATGATGGCGACGTCTATCATGAACTAGTCGTTGATTAAAGCCCCACTGTACTACTTGTAGCTACTTGCTCCCTCTATATAAAAAAAAATGCCTAATCGGTAACCATTGGTCCCCCATGGCCCTCATTTGCTTATGTTAATTGAGAGCTAAGTTGATGAGATAACCACCTGTCCAGTGACCTTGCAGGGTGGTCTAATCCCTCCTTTAAACTACTAGTACAGATGGCCTTTAAAGAGTACTCACCTGCAACATGAGGACAAGCCATAGATGTACCACTGAGTATACGGGTTTCTTCTGGGCCTCCGATCCATGCGCTCGGGATGTCAACACCAGGGGCAAACACATCCACACACTTTCCGTAATTTGAAAAATCAGCCCGTTTATCTGTGATGTCTGTAGCACCGACGGTTATTGCCTAAACAAAAAAAATAAGAGACGAGCGAGGTAGATTGGTCCTTCTTATGGCATCATGCGTGCGCGTGAAAACCAATAAGCGAAAAGAAAGATAGACAGAGAGATAGAAAGACAGAGAGATAGAAAGAAAGACTTATGTCAACCAGCTGTTAAAACAATATTGTAAGACTAGGAATGTCCAGTTGAATGTAACAATGTCTCATTCCCTAATAACAAAAATGATAAACAAATTCATAAAACAGGCTTGATTAATGCATGTAACAACGCAGTTAAAAAATCGAATCCATGACACATGCTCCGCCGATGATTGTTCCGCCAACATCTACAGCTTAAAAACGCAACAATTATTGCTCCGTGACATTTGCTCCGCGACATTTGCTCCGACGTCAAATTCTCCGACGACAATTGCTCCACCGACAATCTCCCCGCCAACAATTGCGTAGCATGCAGGGGCGGATCCAGGAATTTCTTACCGGGGGGGGGGGGGGGGGGCACGCGGTGGGAAAAAAAGGTCCCCCCAAAAATCGCAATGACTCAGCCGGCGGCTGAATAAGCGGGGGGGGGGGGGCGCCCCTAATTGCCCCCCTTGGATCCGCCACTGGCATGATTCGATAAAATTCTCCGGTGGCAAATGCTCCCCGAACGACATTTGCTCCTCCGACAGTTGCTCCTCCTGCCCCAAGGAAGACAGATTCAGTTTTGGATCAGAGAGCAATTTATTGTCGGCGGAGCATTCGTCTTTTACGGGACACTCCTGATACGTCGGCGGAGCATTTGTTTTCAATGGGGTCCTTTTGGGGAGGAGCAATATTATTGTCGTAGTAGCATTTGTATTTTACGGGGCACTATTTGGGCGGAGGACGTGTCGTCGAAGTTACTGTCGACGGAGCATTTGAAGTCGGTGCAAATGTTGCGGAGCAATTGTCGCTTTTTGCAGAGCATTTGTCACCGGTGCGATCGTCGCCGGAGCATGTTTCGGGTTACCGAAAAATCACATGACACGATGACATCTCAATAGCAGATTCATTACGTATTTGATACTTTGAGCCCCTACCTACCTCTGTGACTCGAGCAGGTGAGGACTTGCATGCGTGCATATCGAAATTCCCAGCAGCCGCCACCACGATGACACCAGCGTCAATCAAACCTTGAACAGCATTATCCAGAGCCTTGTTGGGAAAGCCACCCAGAGACATGGATGCTACGGCAGGCTGCTGGCCAGACGCCGCAACGTACTCGATACCTATCAAAACACAATTAGCAACCATTATCAACAGTTATCCCACTGAAGGCCTATCAGGTTTCATTTCCTATATTAGTTGGCGATTTCGTATGATGTAGGTGAAGTATTTTGATTACAATTATCATCATCATCAGTCATCATCTGCACTGATGCTGTCCATGGCACACAATGTATCGCGCCATTACCTGTGTTCATCCACCCTGTGAAGTCTACTAGCCCCGGCCCCCCCCCCCCCCCCAGTGTTATTTAGGGTACGCATATGCTCGTACCCTCTTTTTGAAAGCACCCCCTATCTGAGGACTGCCAACATTTCCGAACCCCCCTTTCGCGGGCTTTTCGCGGGCTTTTCCTGCCTTGGAGACCCCCCTAAATCAGGAAAAATGTTCAATATACCCCCCTAAATTCGGAATAATTTCTCAGGAGTCCAAAGAGATGAGAGAAAAAAAGAAAAACACCCCCTTTTTAAAGAAATCTCCGGGTGAAAAGTCAAATACACCCCTTTTTTTTACAATTCTCGGGCCGGACTTTGTCGCACGAAAAGTACCCCTTTACCGGACATTTTGGCAACACGCATGCGGTCATTCTGACCTCTGAGTGGGGGGGGCCGGGCTACTAGCCCGTTCGCCCGTAAATCGAAAGACTGTTTACATGCTTATTTTGTTTTCGCTTTTTCGATACCCCTCTCCGATGGAGGAGCGTCAAAGATCGCACTATGCACTGACGCAATGTTATGTCAGGAAAAATAACGCCCCGATGTCACTGAGTATAATCAATTATTGTCATGATTATAATAGTCTGTTAAACCCCTATAATTTGATTCGATTTATTACAATAATAATCAGTAACTATCAGAACATTTTGTACATAGTGGTAATATTTTTTCTTCAAATCACAATGAATAACACAATTTATGAAACAAAATGTTGGGAACGATTGACATAACATAATTATGCAGAAGAGCTGCAGTGTAAGCGTGCGCATGTTATGATTACAGCGACAGGAAAATGTGATAATTTAAACAAGCAACAAAAAAAAACAAAAAAATTCAATGGCAAAAAATGACAACAATTGACTTGCTTCAGGAGAGAGAGAGAGAGAGAGAGAGAGATAGATAAAGGAACAGTTGTGATGCAGCTACTTCTATATAAATGCTGAAATATTTTTACTACATGAGAGGTTTTTGTAAGAAAAGCTCTTTAATATTTGTACACGGGTGTATAAAGTATATATGTATTGGTTGATACCTGCTATGACGTCACTGGTTGCACCAGACCCTTTACATCCTAGTACCCTGACTCCAAACAGCTCCACACCACGCGCCACTCCGTACGTATTACCTCCTATGATCCCGGCACAGTGGGTACCGTGGCCGTTACAATCAATGCCCTGCATGGAAGGATCAAAGTGTCTGATGCTGAATATGACTTTGAAATATAAATGGGATCATTTTAATTGTCCAAAATTTGAGGAGGAAAAACACACAAATGGAACATGTTCAATTAATAATAATGAACTATTCTATCAAAGTTGTTACAAACTCTGTCCTGGTGCATTTCAACAATTGTAATTCGACAAGTAACTTATTGTTTAAATCTTCTTGCAAAAATTGTTTTTGATCCTTCACGCTGGCAGTTATATAAAAACAAAACAACCGCAAAAACAACAAACAAGTAAACAAAATAACAAGCGTAGAAACGAACAAACAATTATATTCAGGAAGCTGGGAAAGTTTGCTCAAAAGCACTTACATAAGCTCCTTTCTTAGGCGATGCATCGAAGGCAGGTGTGGCTCGACCATCAAAGTAAAGACTCTCCGGATAAATACCCGTATCGATGATGTACGCGTTAATCCCTGAACCATTGCCTGTTTATAAAGATAGAAAAAAGAGATAGTGTCAGTCTGTCAGACCCTGGAGCAAAGATTGATTTCTGGAACTGTAAACTAATTTGTAAGCTTTCTCATTTCTTTTCTGTTTATGCAGAAGAATCATAGTAGCAATGTCCAATTCCTCATCCTACACTTAATATAAGGACAGTTCAAGAACAGTCCTTATCATGGGACATTGCTACTATGCTTCTTCGGTATAAGAAAAAAAAAAGAGAAAGCTTACAAAGATTGCATTAACTGCACATGTCATATATCTGGGTTAACCATCTTGCTACCTCTTGTCAAAACCATAAGTACTGTTAATTAAACATTGGAAAGAATACTTGTATATTTGTATGCTCTTATGATGCATATCTGGTTTGAAACTACAGCGATAATTTGTTGTTATAGTAATACCTTTGAAGTTTGCGATCCCATCTAGAGGCAACTCTCTCTGGTCTATACGATCCAAGCCCCATGATGCAACACCGGATGTTCGAACGACGCCATCTTGGGTTATGTATTCTATCTCTTCTCTCGTAAGGAGCTACAAAAAAAGGAGAAATTTCTTCATCAACGTGATATCTTTTTGCAGTTTGTGTAATACTGCAAATACATGTAACCTTATATATTGATAAATGATGCTCAGTTACCAATCACCAATTCATGCCAAATGTTGAATACCTTGGGAGATACGGGGGAGATAAAATTACCGAGAAAATGTTGAATGAAAAAAGGTTTCGCCCAGTTAGTCACACGGTTAGCTGTCAACATTACATTAACATTAACATCATCATTACCACCATAATCACTGTTGTTATCATCATCATCATCATGATAATTACCCTCAAATTTCAATATCATTATGATCATCATTACCATCATCAATATCATCACTACCATCATCAATACCATCATCATCATAATTACTATCATTGATATCATCACTACCATCATCATCATAATTACTATCATTGATATCATCACTACAATCATCATCATAATTACTATCATTGATATCATCACTACCATCATCATCATAATTACTATCATTGATATCATCACTACCACCATCATCGATAATTATTGTGCACACTGGTGTACATCAATACAAAAGAAAAAAAGAAAGACAAAGAAGGATGACTGTTATAAGCAGGGCTCAAATTAATTTTTTGTCCACGGGGGCTCTTCCCCCCCCAAAAAGAGCCCCCCGTGAGCCTTCTCACGGGGGCTCTTTTAGTACTGACGGGGGCTCTTTTTTATACAAATATCCATTGAATTGGTACCTACGATACTCCTCAATTATTTGCTATTTCATCATTATCATTTCAATCAGCATTTTCCCTCTTACAAATGTACAAGCTACATAGCTGTTAGTGGCCTGTGTATATAATATATACGCATACAACACTGATCTTTATGATGTCTTTAATGTGACATATCTTCTTCTCCCCTTGCAAACGAGAAAGAAAACAAGGTCATTAAAAGGGATTAAGCGACAAATAATGATTGTGATTCAAATCGATGGGAATATTTGTTTGAATAAGCACTGCTATTCACCCGAATCTTCTTTGTAAAAACAACTTTTACAAATCTCATCCATGCTTTCTGAGTTGTGACGTTCCATTCAATGTAAAATACTCATCATAGAATACACTTCTCCTAATCTGAAAGTGATCTTACAACACAGTGGCAGATTTGCATGGCTGAGATTTGTAAAAGTCGTTTTTACAAAGAAGATTCTGGTGAAAAGCATTGCTTATTCAAAAAAAATCCTTGCATCAATTTGAATCACAATGATTATTTGTCACATGATCCTTTTATTAAATAACCTTGTTTTCTTTTTTGTTTGCAGGGGGAGAAGAAGCTATGTCACGTTAAGAAATCATAAAGATCAGTTGTATTATGCGTATATACATATGATACCAAAACAAATGTCGATTATCAGAATGTCATTTTGAAATACCTCTATACAAATACCACATTGTCTTTAGCCCGTATCAGTATTAGTATGATCCAATATAAAGCTATTATACTTTATTTAATTCAGTATAATGCTTTTCCTTAAAAATAGTTTTGCTATTTTTTTAGGGTTGAGACGCTAAGAAATGGTTTCAAATGTACATTACACGAACCCTGAACCATTGCAAAATGATGGTGGTTCTCTCTCTCTCTCTCTCTCTCTCTTTATTTTAATCATGCATTATCAACTACATATAAAGCAGCAACCAAAAACTTAGGGTTATCTGGAATAGGTGAAAGTAAGAGTTAAAAAGAAAGTCATGCTAAAACGGCGCTTCACTTCCCCCCCTGAAAAAAATAAAATAGATTAGGCCTAGTAGTCCTCCTCTCCAGCATCTCTCTCCCCCCGCTTTAATGTCACATTTTCACTTGGCAGCCCAAGGGGGCCGGGAGGAGGGGGTTAAACCCCCTAACCCCCTAGATCTGCCCATGTTAACATATCATTCCACGAGATCTTGGTCTTCCTCTTCTTCTCAATACGTACTTTTAGATTTGCGTGGACGTGGACGTGTTACGTCCTTTTAAGGCACTGGCAGCCACACGTCACGTCCTTTTAAGCACTGGCACTGCCTTAAAAGGAGGTCACACGTTGCAGTCCACGTTCTCATCGTGCAAATCTAAAAGTCCCTAATATTGATTTACTGGTCGAGTTTCATTATTTGCTGGTCATTTGAAATCACCAGATTTCAGCGGGTTAACGCTTTCACAACGAAAAACTTCTCCATGACCATGTTTCTGCCCTTGCGCGATCGCCTCCAGCTCCAGCAGACATGGCGCGGCAGCGTGCCCACGTACCGCTACTAACGGCGCAGTAGGCCTATAACCACTGATGACGGCAGCACTGCACTGCGAGCTGAATCGGTAATAACTAGGCCTACTCATAAAACGAGAAATCTTGCACGCTAATCTAAGTTCCATTTCATTGGTTTAAGGTTTGAAAATTGAAACTCAATATTGTGTTAAAGTTATAACAGAAAAGATAATCTTTATTTTATGATTCCACGGGGGCGATTTTTAATTTTGCAATCGCCCCCGTGAGCAACCTGACGGGGGCGATTATGTAGCTCACGGGGGCGAATCGCCCACCGCTCCCGTGTATTTTGAGCGCTGGTTATAAGCGTCTTCATCGCGATCTTGCACTTCAGATGGAGCATAACTATCATTATCATCCCATACCCCTATATCACCAAAGCAATTATTGTTATTATTTCAAACTTCAAGTCATTACAATCGTCGTCATTGACACCATCAATTCAATAACCTTCTTATCTCAACTCATATTTACCTTTTTGACAGCTCTTTCGGTCAATTTAGCCGAGAATCCCTTGATGGCTTTGGCGTAGGTGTGCTTTATAAAAGCACCACTATAGATTCCAGAAACGTCATTCAAGATAAGTTTCTTGATAGCTTCTACGTCATTATGTGCATACGATGGCTGTGAGGGAATCAAATAGATTCAAATAAAGATAAAGATTAGGACTTACACGTCTTGACCAAGGAGTTTTAAGCTCTTAAACCTCCTTGTCTTAACTTACTCCGTGCTAGCAAGTTATGCTTAATAGGACATTTACGTAATGTAACCAAATTTAAAGCATAATTCTTTGTGAAGTGCCTCGTTACGAATTATTTCATTCACCTGTTACGAAGAGTAGTATTTTAATAGTCAAAATGTGAATTGCATACATTAGTTGTTGCTAGGTGGATTTAAACATTATGGCTTGTCCTATTTAACAACACGTAATGTATGCAATGTGCATTCTGACTATCAAAATAATTATTCGCACAGTTGAGTGACATAATTCGTATTGAGGTTCTTCAAAAAGACAGGTGCATTAATTTTGGTTACATTACGAAAATTACCTATTGAGCTAATGTGTCAAGGTCTAATATGTAGTTCTCCTGTAACTTGTTTGTACAAATATTCCTAGTGTATGTTTATGAGAAATGTCATTGAATGCGATGTCTTTGAACCTCAGTAAAATAAAAAAGATATATGGAAAATAATAACTTGCAAATTGCAAAATTCTGATAATGAAATTAAATGATCATGTTGACATATGTCAAGTACTGCTTCTTAACGCTGCCAAAGAATAACTATGAACAGATTCGACAAAAAATATAATTGGCACAATTCTTCCTCACTTCTACATTATATAAAGACGCATGGAAGAGAACTACATAAAACAAAAATGGATATTCATACTAGAGTGCTACAAAGTTCTAACAACATTAATCTCATCAAACAATTCTTTGGACGGATTCTATAAGACTAGATCCCCCCTTTTCTTGAGAAAGGAAACAATGATCACTGACAATGGCTACACAAATATAGACACTCGAAAAAATACAGACCGAAAATTAGACGTCTACAAAGTAGATTAACTTGGGTGATAAGCTCAGATTGAAGCTGCTTTTTTTTAAATCTGTTTGTTTTTAAAGAGCATTAAATATTGGCCTCGATGCTTAAAATCTGCTCTTAAGGTTAGTATAAAAAGAAAGAGAGGTACGGAAAAGGGTAGCATTATGAAACCTATACTAGTGTCACAGAGATCTTACAGCATACGTCTGATCGAGCGATCCTTTGGACGGATTCTTTTTGGATTTATTTCTTTTCTCTCGAGAAAGATAACAATCACTGGTTTCAACACATTCATGACATACGAAATAAAAAGAAAACTTTGACGAATACAGTCTATACAGACCCTGAGAACAATTTGTGTACAATGAGTGGGTGAGCGCACGCAATCATTTAAAAGTAAATATTTTTAAAACGACCATAATCGAGTCTGTGCATGGCTAGGCGCAGGAGTTCAAATTGAACATGATCGCTAAGACTTTCAAGAAATCATCTCAAGAACAATATCAACACACTACTGTACTGTCTACAGATATCTAATCCACTTATTTGATTGTAATGGTCGCATTCGATGTAGGTGATGTAGTTGTTTTATACTGTTCGGTTGAGTTTAAAAAAAAAGAAAATCATCACACTAAATTTGAATAGTAGGGATTTAACATGGTTTAACAAACATGATTTTCATAGAACAAAGTCATTATGTTGTTATAGCTATAACTTAGGTGCGAAGCGACCGAGTAGATTGTATCATATAGGACATTTGTGCAGGCATTATAAGTTTCGCCCAACCCAACCCTCCCACCAAAACAGGTCTGATTCAGCGACTATCATGCACCCTAGAGGTTACTTGTTCCACCTCCTCGGTCATATTCGTAATAGGTTAACCGTCCCGAACGTGTGTTGAGCATACTATACTACAGCCAAAACAGAGGTAACAAACGGGATCCCTTACCTTTACGACGACGATGTACTGGTCCTTGGAAGGCTCCTCTACTTTGTAAAGTGTGGCGTTTTTAGCAGTCGTTGCAGCCACGAAGGCAGTCAAAATCACGACGATCAACTTCATCATTCTACATGTTATATGCACTGTTACTCTAACTGCATACCAGCCAAGATCTGCCCCACAGCTCGATCTCAATGGTCTACATGTGTTTACCTATATGCATGCACTGTCTACGGAGGAGGTCACCAGAGCGTAACACTCCTCTTCTGCTCAACAAAGCTGAGCTTACAACAAATTTATTCACAACCCTCTTGAAAGTTATTATTTAAAGACCGTCAATACTACTGGGCCAGAAGGGATTAGACCACACAGCGAGGTCACTGACAGGTGGCTATCTCATTAACTCAGCTCTCAACTGACATAAGAAAAAGAGGATCATGGGGGACCAACAGGCACCGATTTGGGAAGTTTTCTATATAGAGGGAGCAATTAGCTACAAGTAGGACAGTGGGGCTTTAAGACGAGTGTTTGATCGCTTGAAGCTCCAGCCAAGATTACTGTTGCACATTTACATAGGGGTGATAAGACTATTAGCAAAGGGGAATTAAGATGCCTTCAAAATAAGATCCTAATCATTTTAAGGGTCTCTCCAAACTTTTGGGACTGTTAAGTAAATACTAATATTACAAAAGTGGGCACTATCTCTTCTCTACTACTACTACTACTACTACTACTACTACTACTACTACTACTAATCCTACTACTACTACTAATCCTACTACTACTAATACTACTACTACTACTACTACTAATCCTACTACTATTGTTACTTCTACTAATAAAAATGATGTTTACCCAGGGAAGCCTCATCTGCTTCAATGCTGTAATTCTTCCTGAGGGCCCTGCAATTATTATTACCCCAGTGATTGCCAGGTACCTCTTTACACCTGGGTGGAAAACATGGTTTAACGTCTTGTCAAACGACGTTAGTGCCAGGCTGAGCTTCGAACCCTCAACCCTTGAATTGAAAGTCAAGCGAATGAACCACTATACCACGACACCTCCACATGAGACAGGAATATTGCAGAACGAAAGAGATTATTATATGTTTAGAAACGGTAGAAAGGAGATTCAAAATATACACTATGTGCGAAATAATATAGAAGTTTTATTCATTTTCATTCTTCACATTCAAAATGTATAAACCAGTCTCAATATATCTATATATATTGCATACAAATAAAAATCTTCATCCGTAATATCGAAAATGGTGACCGTTTAGGTGTCAATGTTCGTAAAAGAAGTCAAATAATATTTTCAGTAAGAATTTTCTTTGGGTTATATAGCAAATTATAATATTTGGTCTGCATATTGTACCAACACCGAAGGTCCCATACTTTTCAATAAACAAATTCAATGATAAATATCTCTCAAATCTTATTCCGAAAGGCCTAATCACACTTTCTTTCTTTCAGGACTGAAACCATTTTTTATTTCAAACTTTCCTCTTTTTTTTTTGTTACGAAGAAGGGCAAAGGAGGAGGACTTCGGGGGTTCCTAAACTGAATCCAGGTTAGGCCAAAGAACGTCTGTGTTTTGTCTTGCACCTGTACGAACTATATCATTGAAAAATACTCAAGGAATTTGTCTAATATCTTAATTTTTTTCTTGAAAAATTTAATCGTTGTTTCATAATGTGAATTTACATCGATTACATGAAATCATTTTCTAAAGACCTGGCCTGTCATCCTCAACCTACGGAGATCAAGTAACTTGAAATTAACGATAACACAATAAATGCGTGACAAAACCTCACAAAATTCAAATGTATTTGATGTATCCCTTTCACCTTTTATAACTGCCAGTAGCTTCGAGCTTCGAAAAATATAGATGAGTATTGAATGATAAATTTATATTGGACTACACATTTTTCAAAAGCCTATTTATCGCCATTGCACCTTATACATGAGATGATACACACTATATCAAGTTGACTTACAATTGAATGGCAAATTTCAAACATATACATATGAATGAGTTGATTTGGCAAAAATAAACATGACTATACTCCAGTTTATCATGGCAGCACCTTGAATACTCAGATGAGTATGAATTATTGTTCGATGCACCAAACGAAAGAGAGGGATGGAAGCTCCATTAGTGGTTCCAAAACTCTTTGTCTTGTGAAGAAATTTTGTACAAATCTAATTGAAATGGTGGAAATCTATACACAGTGTCAAGCAAGATGATTAGATATCAGCCAAAATTTAGTGGCAAGAAACTACATGTTCTGAATGCTAAAAGAATCATATCATTAGGATAGAGCTTGTAAATAAATATAGTACCATGACAAGTTTCAGTGAGATATGTCAAACAAGAAAATGTTGATTCTGCGTTCCGGAGCGTCCTTTTGTGCCACTGCTATCCTATCTTTATATGGGGCGTTGCACAAGAAAGTTTCGATTGATTGCACGTTGCAAAATTTGCAACTGATAAATTATTTGCAATCGACTGCAACTCAACTTTCTGACAACACCCCACTATAGTCTCCTAAAGTTTCTAGGATTTAAAGTTTTAACAATTAAATTAAGTTAATCAGATCTAACTGGTATTCTATCCCCTCTATCTCTCTCTTTTTCTCTTACTAATGGGGCATTGCGAGAAAGTTGAGTTGCTATCAATTGCAAATTTGCAATTAATCGAAAGACTAACGCTTGATTTTGGGGGATTTGCAATTGATTGTAACTTTCTTGCAACACCCCATAAGAGTAGGGCTTATATATTATGTGTTAATTGTGTTCACCTTGGAACATTTACACGTGCTTGCCAGACATGCCAAATGAAAAAAAAGTATGATACTTCCTCAGCCGATTCCATTTATGGACAAATTCTCTACTCATTTTTCATTTCTGCCCACGTCACTTTAATCAGATATTAGATCTCAAATCTTAGAGATGAATTTGCCTTTTTTAAAAGTCATTTCTCCTTCTTTAAATAAAACAGATGTTTTAGTTTGCTTCATTATTTCCGGTGAATGTAGGCCTTTATTTCTTATTTCTCATTACATTTTTGTTATTTCCCCTTTTCTTATTGTATTGCTTCAAAGCGTAATTACAGTACTTGACAATTATTCGTGTGCACCTATCGACATTTGATAAAGCTCATTGTATCTAAGAGATGCCTTCCAATTTGCTGACATGACTATAGCACATGGTTTTCATTAATTAAAAGTACGCCTTTTTTTCCTTTTCTTCAGAACCCAAAGCTCTGTTGAGAAACGTTCCTCCATACCAGCTGAACGCCCTTCTCTTGACTATCTGCTAACTCAACATCAGGTTTTGGTCTTCGAGTCGTCCAAACATTGAACCCATCTGCCTCAGCAGCCGTTGAGTCTTGTCTGTCATCATGACACGATGCTGTCGGATCGAGATCTGAGTTGATTGCAATAATCGAAATATATTACAATGCGTGAGGAAGAAAAAGAAATAGACAGATAGATAAATAGAGAGAGAAAGAGATGAAGGGTACGACTCATTATGTGAGGGGAAAACATATATATGTGCCATTTAAAGATATTACAAAATGTCCTTGCAAATTTTGGAGTTTGGCATTATATACCTTTTATAATAATAATAATAATAGCTAGTTTTTACATAGCGCTTTTCAGGACCGAAGGCCCTCTCAAAGCATTTTCTCAAAAAATTGTCTTTAAAAGAAAATGCATATCGACATAATTTATTCCAAAATCACATTATTAATCATCAGACAAATGTCTTGCTCATCGTTCTTTGCATGTCTGGTTAGTCATCCTATTCTAAATTGACTAGCATACATCACAAAACAATACCGCTTATCTCGACGTTTGGGGGAAATGCTAGGTAGCTTCTTTCTTAAAGGGCCCATGACATCGAAATACAAGTGTATTCCTGTTGGTGTGCAGTGCTACATACATCTCATATTTTGATATGTAAACTTCTGAATTTGTTTCATAGATTTTTAAATATTTTTTTAAATATTTTTTTTACAAACTTGCTAAGCTCCACCCCCAAAACCACTATATCTCATTCCCCTTGTGACATCATCTGTCAGTCATGAATGAGCTAACTTGAGAAAGTGGTATGTAACTTTGCCAAAGTTGACCACCTGTTACAATACCACAAACAATAGCAACATATAAGTAGCTATGTCAGACATGTCAGACTGAACTAATATTCTAGAATAGACAATGTTATGTAATTTCCCCCAGCTTAGCATACGTTCATAATAGAATTGCATGCTTCCATACATCATCATTGCCTTTGTCTTCCTGGTGATGCTACAGCATGTCTGACATAGCAACTTTTATGTTGCTATTATTTTACGTATTTTAACCGGTGGTCGACTTCGGTAAAGGTACATACCACTTTCTCAAGTTAGCTCATTGATGACTGACAGATGATGACACAAGGGGAATGAGATCTGGAGGATTTTGGGGTGGAGCTTAGCAAGTTTGAAAAACAAATATTTCAACAAATATTTAAAAACCTATGAAACAAATTCAGAAGTTTACATATCAAAATATGAGATGTATGCAGGACTGCACACCAACAGGAATACACTTGTATTTCGATGTCATGGGCCCTTTAATAATTCATAATTATGCATAGTGCTATCAATAAGCTCTGTTTCCTTTCTAAATGCCAAATTATATGTTTGATCTTTCGTTTTAAGTTTCTGGTTTGTTGTTCGAACGTTAAAAATAGACCGGGATAAGGTTTACCTCTGAAAAACTGTGCTCCGTTCCTGAAGGACTCCTTGTCTAACTCTAACCTCAAGAGGATATTGCTAGGGTCAGCTTGGATAGCACCCTCTTCGTCGTCTTGACTCAACATCACGGGCAATAAATCTTCCGCCAAATGTCTATTTTCTATGTTTTTCTTGAGAGATGTTAAATCCTCCGGTGACACAACGTCCACTGTAAAGCAAATAGGAAACAGCATAATGTTCGTCAACCTTGCGTATGGTTCGAAGACTGATTTGAGTTGACGGATACCCGACCAAGATTCATCCGAATCCGCAGGGTGCGTTACAAGACGGTATAGGTGGGAATGGTGTTTCATCATCGTAGCATCCTCAACATTCTCAAACGTAGCAAGAATATCAATTTCTGAGAGAGAGAGAGAGAGAGAGAGAGAGAAAGAAAGATTCATCATAAAACAGCATGTATTTGTAAAAATATAGAATCACAGCAGATTCATAGAAAAAGATGAAACTACTAAAACTACAAATAAAACAAATATAAGCAGTATCAAGCACAAGCCACATCAGTGTTAATAATGCAACTATCATAAGTCCAGTATTGCCAGGTACCAACTTACTACATCTGGTAGAAAGGGATAAATGTTGGAAAAACACCTCGTCTAAGGAATGTAAGCACTAGTGAGGATCGCACTAGGGACATCTCGTATATGAGTGAAGAACCTGCACCATTTTTTAAAAATTTCATGTGAAACACCTTTAGTATTATACTAGAGTGCTTCCTACTCTTGTGTTAAACCATGGATATACGACCGGCAATTATTCCTTACGATATGACGTTATGCTCTAACATTGAAATGCATGTTATATAAAAAGAAAGTATTTGTCTTGTAAGTCAAACCTTGTCTTCTGTGAGCTTGATGAGATGGATTCGGCAGTGCGAGATTGACGATAGGGGATGCGGCTTCCACTTCATTATCTTCAATAGTAACATGAGCATCTGGAATTGGAAAAGAGGTATATAGGTAGGCCTAAATTGATTATTTTTAGTATCCTATTTTTGTTGTCATGCTTGTTATTGTCTAAATGTATGTGAAGATCACTTTACATTAACTAAGTTCTGTCATCGAAACAACCGTGAAGTTATTCGCTTGAGCAATGTATATGAAGGGGGAGAGAGAGAGAGAGAGAGAGAGAGTGAGAGAGAGAGAGAGAGAGAGAGAGAGGAGAGACGAAGAGAGGGAGCAAAATATGAATTATTGAAGGATTAATCATGATAATGAAAGATCACCTCAAGCAGAGCAGAGGATGCGGCAGGACAGCGAGCAGAAATAATACAGGGGAACGTATGGAAGAACAATCTAGCAAAACGAATTAAACCAATATTAAATGTTCTTTTCTTCATCTTAATGGGAAGGGGTACTGCATGATTTCCTTAGTTTGCCGAGGCTGTCCAATTATTCCATTCTCTCATTTTTCATTTGATGCCCTTGTTTTGTCAGACAGCAGGAAGGAGGGGTAAGGGGTAAGTGCCCCTTTTCCGGCGCTACACCACTGGTTATTTCATTTGAAGTGGGAATACAAGACAATCGAGATTTCATACAAATGGTTCTGTGAACGTCATATTTCGTTTCAAAACACGGAATTACATTTTATACAGTTAAAACAATACAATGCAAACGCCTAATTATTATGGACAGAGGCCTTCAATTTTATTATTATCAAACCTCTGACCTGATATTTACACTCTGCTTGAGAGGTGTTTAATAGCTCTCCCATCAACCAACTGAGTGAGCACATCAATTACCATATCATGAATATTCATAAGATATGTAGACTCGTAACATGGTATTCTTTGGCAATCAATTTTTTATGTCGTGTCTGAAATTATTCAAAAGTCCTTTGGTGTATTTGGCGTGCACTATCATCAGCTTTACAATTATGATGCAGTGAAAAGAATAATTACCAATGCATGAAATGAATTCCTCCAGGTTATGTTCTTTCATGGCAGCCTTCAACTTGATCAGCTCCGTCTGTCTTCCTTCAACCTTGTTCCTCCAACGAACCAATGTCGGGTCCAAGTTGGTCCGCCAGCAGTCCAGGACTCGGAACGTGTTACCGATGGGATCGTTGGTCTGAATAATACTAGAGAGATCGGTCTTAGTTAGACCAAGACTAAAGCCTAGATCGTATGCTTTCTCGGGAGGGATGTGCTCGGCTAGGTTTCGGAGCTGTACATCCGTGAGGTTTATCTTGCAATCCGTCTCCATGGTGATAACACGTAGTGGGATGAGGGGATGGATGCGAGTTAAAGTCCAACTCTGGAAAAGCGTAGTTTAAGAGTCAATGGGTTGTTTGCTTTTCATCTTTCCATCCAAGTTGAGACACTCCTGGCATGCAAATAGGTTATGAGAATAACATCACGCATCATAAATCAATACAAATCTGTGAACAAACAGTGATTATTATCCCTGTAGGCTATATTCATGAAGAAGGAAGAATGGAGTACTGAGGTCAGCAAACTAACCAAGAAGGAACAGATCATTATATAAGAGACATAAAATCAAATGATAACCTCTAAATCGATCATACATTGACAGAATAACAACGAATTCATGACGTTGCTTTCTATTTCAAAATTGTACTTTGTAAGTTTCCAATTGCCATTGCCAATCGTTATTATCATTATTAGTATTATTGAGTAAGATCCTTCCCTTTTCACACGCTCAAAATTCAGCTACTTCCCCTTCCAACCTAAGCCCTTGTGTAGTAGTTTTAATCTCTATCGACTGTCTTGTTCATGTTGATTTGTCCTCCCCGGGTCCTCCCCTTTCCTTCATTCTTTTATCGAAGGAGAATGAAGCGAGAAGAGCAAATAAAATGCGAACAATGCAGTGATATCGATCGAGTGAAAATGTCTATGATAATGCGACTATAGCCTTGCAATCAATGGGATGAAAAAGGGAAGTGTACATAAAGAAATATTAGGGACTTTTAGATTCGCACGAAGACAATGGCCCGAATTCACAAAGCAAGGTTTGAGCTCAGACCAAGGTTTGAACTCAAACCTACTTTTGTTTCGCCAAACCTCCTATTGTTCTTTACTAACCAGGTTTGTAAAAAAAACGCGTAAAACGCGTCATATGACGTACGAAAACCAAGGGTTGTCGACAAACATCCTTTGTGAATTCGGGCCAATAGGTCTATGCTACGGTCGACGTCGATCCTTTCAATGCAATGCCTTGAATGGACGTCACACGTATCAGTCAACGCAAATCTAAAAGTCCCTAATGGTAGAGACTAAACAGACGAATCGCTTTGCTTTTAACAGAGTTCATGTTATACATACAGTGTAGTATGAGGGGGCCTAGTGCTGCAGAGCCGTGAACATTCTGAGCCTACAAGTAAATTTTGTCCAAACATCTTCTCATATTAAAGTAGGCTTTATGGTGTAACTATATTTTTCTTTGGGGTTTCTTTGGAATATGATACGTAATGAAAAAAATTCTAGTCGTCATGATTAATACGTCAAAATCTCATCCACAGTTAGAGTGCAGGTCTTGAGATAATGTGTGTTCTTTCCATTAAGTAAATATTGACAGGCAAACCCAGCAAGACGAGAAAATGATAAGCGATATTTAGATGAACTAAAGTCCACGCAATAAGAGCCGATGATTTATAATGCTATTTAATAGGCCAAAGTCCAATGTATAATATTTGGAGCTCATGGCTAACATAATTTGTATGATTTTAAGAGGGTAACATGGGCCTCATCGAGCCAGGTACAAAGCAACTTTGTCTATAATTATTGGGATGGAGTAGATAGGTACGTCCAATCAACATCCATTATGTAACAAGAGAAAGATACAACATTTCCTTAAGTTTGATGGTCATATTTCAAGTGGTTCTAGAGATATCGTGATAACGAGGACAATACCTGTAATTTCATAGAATTGACCTCTATGACCTTTGACTTACGTACCCCCAAATCTAATGAGACAGTTTTCCAATGGTGATGCACGTTATCCCTAAGTTTTAAGTTGATACCTCACGTGGTTCTTATATGCCGTTATAACGGAGGCTACAAAGTATGTACCGTGTACATGTAATTGTTAGGTATCATAATAAGTCAACGATAATGTAATACTAAAATACTCACTTTGTACACATTTCTCGTGTAAATATGACACACACAAGCTGAGTGTACCACGTTATACCACTATATCTTATAGCGAATAAACAGCATTGCATACCGTGATTTGGCATTCTACCTGCACACACATAGCAGCGGAGTCAATGACTAAATACACAATAGGGAATATGACAATACTACCATGGATTGCTATGATAATTGATATTGAATAACATTGAGAACACGAATGCGCCGTACTATTCATGATTTATAGGCCTTTTAGCTAGCTATGAATTTAACTCGTCGCATGATTTCAGTGTACAAAACTGATCATGGAATTCTTTTGTGCACATTTCGACTATGTTTTATTTCTTAAGAACATAATATTTTATTGTCATCATATTCATGAGTAAACGAGATAATCATTATGATTTATCATAAACGGAGGAAAGAGAGAAAAAAGTGTTGGTACTCACCATCTGCACATCGTGCTCTCCTTACTGCATCGTCTGTTACACACAAGCGATGTTCATGAGAATGTCACAAACACTGATTATGCAAGGAATAATTCGATCGGTCGAAAATAGAAATGATAGTACTCGCTGTTGTGTTATCATTGATAAAGGTCATTAAAGACCAAATGAGAGCGAGGTCATCGATTTTTATTGGAAAAGATTTAAGTCGTTCGTTTAAAATTGTATTGACAGCGTTCACACTGTCCTAGAGTCCTAGTCCGATGATGAATCGCGTGATGCAGTTTCATTGAAGCTACAGGTGCAGACGATATTATTGTTTCACTTTGTAGTACTGTACGTACATTGTGAACACAGCATTTGGCGCCGCTGCAGGATCACACGCACACACACACACAGTCATTAATACACACGTCATTCGTGTGCATTGTTATTGTATTATGAACAACATTGATACTTTTGAGAGCTGAATTGCATGGGCTGTGAGAGCAGAAGTCTCGTGTTATTTAAACAGTGTTGCATAAATATTAGAGGTGCTTGGTTTATTGTTGAATGGGGTAGTTGGGAATACTTGCCAATGATTGGGTTATGTGTGGTATGCATACTGCTGCAGAGATCTAAAGAGCTATTCCAGAAACTCGTCTTTGTATGTGTGAAAGTAAATTATTTTCTTTTTGCCTTTTATTACAAAATAAATAATCTAAATAACATACTTAGTTTTTTTTATACAACCACTGGTGACATAATTTACACAAGGCCCGGCATTCCTGTCTAGTCTCCAAATTTTCCACTTGTTCTTCATGGCTTCTCCGCTTGTGTTTTTCTCATGTTGACAAAATACTTATCCGGCTGATGGTCAACGAAACGGAGTTAGTCTTTTGTCAATTCTGCTTGTTGCTACGGCAGGCAGCCAGTGAAAACGAATTCGTTTGATAAAATTATGGAAATTCAAGCATTACTTTAAACAAACAGAACAATGTTATACCTTGCTCATTTTTCCTGATTGAGGTGTCATATGAAGAGCAGAAACTGAACTGTATAGAAATGTGATTTTCACTTTGAAATTCAGATACCGTCCGCCAAATGACTTTTCGGTTCCCTCTCTTCAAATTAATTTAAATCACTCATGCGTGAAGTATGTATCACATGAGTTACATCAAATGAAAGAGGAGGATCTAAGCTTCACAAATATGTGTAATTTATTAATTATAATCTTGATAAAGTTATGATAAAACATCGATAATTCTCGGTTTCGTTTTTTCCTGGGACACATCTATCATATTTTAAATTCTATATTTTTTGTATTCCTTTGTATATTTTTTAATGAGAGTATTGAATAAAGTGAACTTGATCTTAAACTTGAACTTAACAACCGGTTCAAATGATCTTTTAAAGTTTGATATTATTCGATCGTGACCCACCCATTCATGAAGCAGGGGGTTTGGTTGAACCGAGTTGAACAGGGAATAGGTACCACACGTTCTGATTCGAAACTTCTTCAAGGGTGTCGCTAAAATGAAAACAAAAATCAACAAAGAAAAAAGACTTGTTTACAAGATGGAGGCTTCCAAGATTCGTCGACAGATGTGTACATTTTTCTAACAACTAAATTTCACTTAATTTCAGTATACATTATAACATATATGAAGAAATATAAACTTATTTAAAACAAAACTGGCCAAGGCTCCGAGATAAGCGAAGCCTGATACCTTGTTAGCCCTGACAACCAAGTACAATAAAAAAAAATAGACATAATTAAGGGGATCTTGGTAATGCTTAAGTACAGCAAAAAGAAGAAAAGAGTGATAGACAGAGACTGAAGAGTGATTGGTAGAGAAAGAGAGATAGATAGACAGATATATATATATATATATATATATATATATAGAGAGAGAGAGAGAGAGAGAGAGAGAGAGAGAGAGATAGGAGAGGGGAGGGGGGGGGGGGGCGGTAAAATGAGAAGTGATAATTGCACATATCGTTACTAAGCAACATAAACACGCATTGATATGAAAGAGTACCTATAAATACTAAGGTACATTGTAGAGAAATACTTCCGGGGTCCTCATTTGTCGTTCCCTTCTTACAAAATTGGTAATTTTTTAATTATCAATTTGCAAATGTTGTGGCTAGAAAGAGAAACCCCAAATGCCTAATTTTGTTTATAAAGAAGAAGGAGATAGGGATAGATCAAAATAGATAGATAGATAGAGAGAGAGGGAGAGAGAGGGAGCGAGAGAGAGAGAGAGAGAGAGAGAGAGTGAGAGAGAGAAGGAGGGAGGGAGAGAGAGAGAGAGAGAGAGAGAGAGAGAAGGGGATGGGGGGGGGGCTAAAAGCTTAGATAATTATATTTTGTATGTTTATGATAATGACTGCACATAACAAGCAACCATTTTCACGTTTTATTGTAACTATATCATGTTCTTTCAACATAAACAATATCAAGGAATAACAAAATAAAAAAAATTACAGATAATGATGCTCATTGTACCCAAAACCTTCAATAAAAAAATAAAATAAAAAAAGATCATCTTACATCTAAGTCTCTGTAACATGCAAGGGGAGGGGGGCATGCGTGAAAACTCGTGTCAATAATAGATAGATTCAAGCAGGTACAAAGGTCGACGTAGTAACAATAATGGTAAAAAGGACCAAGTGTGCAGGATGCTATAGTAATAATGATAGTAATGACAGTGGCAGGTTTAGAATTTTACGAGGGGGGGGGGGGGTAAGTTTGAAAATTCTGTCAATAGCACCCACCCCCTAAAAAGGGAAATAAAGAAAAAAAAAATTTTTTTTTTTTTCCTTAATTTTTCCAAAACAAATAATAAAGTAAGGCGAAAAAAATAAGCAAATAAAAAAACAACTTCAAATAAAGCACGAAAGCAAGAAAGAAAGAAAGAAAGAATGAAAGAAAGAAAGAAAGAAAGAAAGAAAGAAAGAAAGATAGAAAGAAAGATAGAAAGAAAGAAAGAAAGAAAGAAAGAAGAGAGAAAGAAAGATAGAAAGAAAGAAAGAAAGAAAGATAGAAAGAAAGAAAGAAAGAAAGATAGAAAGAAAGAAAGAAAGAAAGAAAGAAAGAAAGAAAGAAAGAAAGAAAGAAAGATAGAAAGAAAGAAAGATAGAAAGAAAGAAAGAAAGAAAGATAGAAAGAAAGAAAGAAAGAAAGAAAAAGAAAGAAAGAAAGAAAGAAAGATAGAAAGAAAGAAAGAAAAAAAAGAAAGAATGAAAGAAAGAAAGAAAGAGAAGAAAGAAAGATAGAAAGAAAGAAAGAAAGAAAGAAAGATAGAAAGAAAGAAAGAAAGAAAGAAAGAAAGAAAGAAAGAAAGAAAAAGAAAGATAGAAAGATAGAAAGAAGAAAGAAAGAAAGAAAGAAAGATAGAAAGAAAGAAAGAAAGAAAGATAGAAAGAAAGAAAGAAAGAAAGAAAAAGAAAGATAGAAAGAAAGAAAGAAAGAAAGAAAGAAAGAAGATAGAAAGAAAGAAAGAAAGAAAGAAAGATAGAAAGAAAGAAAGAAAGATAGAAAGAAAGAAAGAAAGAAAGAAAGATAGAAAGAAAGAAAGAAAGAAAGATAGAAAGAAAGAAAGAAAGAATGAAAGAAAGAAAGAAAGAAAGAAAGAAAGATAGAAAGAAAGAAAAAAAGAAAGAATGAAAGAAAGAAAGAAAGAGAAGAAAGATAGATAGATAGATAGATAGAAAGAAAGAAAGAACGAAAGAAAGAAAGAATGAAAGAAAGAAAGAAAGAAAGAAAGATAGATAGAAAGAAAGAAAGAAAAAAAGAAAGAGAAGAAGAAAGAAAGAGGAAAAGAAGAAAGGACATTTTCAGGTTCCTTTACAACTCAGAATACAGGTACTCCCCCAGACCCGCCACTAAATACTATTCTTCATTACATAATGATGACGACAGTGATGCTAACAATGATGATATAGGGTGGTGATATATATTATAATCAACCACCACTAATCTGAATATCGTTGACATCATTACCTTCATTATCATTATTATCCTATATTTCCCCTCGATCCCTAAAATTAGGTCGAAATCATAGGCACAAGCAATGTTGTTATCAAAGTCTATATAATAATTGATGTTTCAGTGGCATTTGATTAAAGGTAATACAAAGTTTTGGGAAATTTTGAAAATTGGGTGGATAGTGATTCTTTACAATTTTGATATATTTGGATGCCCCTGTGGATGGTTTATAAGCACTAGAAAATTAAGCCCTTGAAACACTTCTGCTTTTGAGTAAAATTGAACATAAAAATTTACCGGTGCTCCCGGTAAATTTTGATAAAGTACAATGGTAGCTGCAAACCTGAAAATATCAGAATATGTAGTTGCGATATATAGTTTCCAAACGGAAATAGCTAATTAGTCGATTTTAGTCAAGAAACATTGTTTTATAGCTTAATTAAAACTTGACCTTGAGAAGGAGCTATACAACATAAAGAGTGTATTATTTACAATTGCATAACTTTAGACTCGATTTCAAACGCGATAACGATCACTGAATATTGTAGGATCGCATATGCTTCCAATATGTTCATTCGAACCAAATTCATGACCCCATACCAAAACATTGCATACCTTTAGGCCAAAAGGATAGGTGAACAAGACTCGTTTTTCAATGTTTATTTTATCAAACAATTTTATTAAATTCATATTCTGCAATGATATCCGAGTATAATTATGACCAATGGGAATACGTTCATACATAGAATATAGAACAGCTGTGTCACATTACATCAAACTTTGAATTGACCAAGATTTCAAACCAATTTAACAATTTCTGTAGCCCACTAAAGGCTAGATCTTACCCAATGTTATCTTTATAATTTTCAATATTATACCAGTTATATATCACTAGCTTTATCACCAATAAATCTGTATAAATTAGTCTCTCAAACAGAAATAAATAAATCAAATCAAATCAAATCAAATCAAATCAATCTCGAATAAAAACATCTTCAAAACATTGCTATAGCTACGATACTTGTAGAACTATGGATCAATATAAATTACTTCATCATAACAATATAATTCATGTCAGATTATTCGTTATTTATGCTTCAAATTTGCAAAAGAAAGACAAAAAGAAAGAAAGAAAAAGAAAGGCAAAATAAATGGAAAGAAGAGAGTGTCTTTCAAGCTAACCCTGTATAGTGCTCTATGGCAAGGATTGAGTTAAGGTGTGAACAGAGAAATCTAGGTGTGGAGTTCATGAGCTAGTCGGTAGACAGGATCTGCACATTGAAGGCCATTTGTACCAAATTGGTAAACCCACCGAAATGAATGAATAGTGGATAGGTGCTCATGAAAGTATGTGTATTCTATCTATGTGTAAATCTAAACCTTAGGAAGAGATTTGTAAAATGTCTAGTTTGGAGTGCAGCATCGTATGGCTCTGCAATCGGAGAGCAGAGTAAAGATTGATTGATTGTTTGGAAATGTGGCTGTGGAGAAGAATGGAAGGAATTAGTTGGACGGACAGGGTCACCAATGAAGAGAGAGAAAGAGAGAGAGGGAGAGAGAAAGAGAGAAAGAGAGAGAGTGAGAGAGTGAGAAAGAGAAAGAGAGAGAGGGAGAGAGAAAGAGAGAAAGAGAGAGAGTGAGAGAGTGAGAGAGAGAAAGAGAGAGAGAGAGAGAGAAGAGAGAGAAAGAGAGAGAGTGAGAGAGAGAAAGAGAGAGAGAGAAAGAGAGAGAGAGAGAGAGAGAGGGAGAGAGAGAGAGAGAGAGAGAGAGAGAGAGAGAGAGAGAGAGGGAGAGAGAGAGAGAGGGAGAGAGAGAAAGAGAGAGAGTGAGAGAGAGAAAGAGAGAGAGAAAGAGAGAGAGAGAGAGAGAGAGAGAGAGAGGGAGAGAGAGAGAGAGAGAGAGTCAGTGAGTGAGATGGGAGTAGGTCTATTATTTTGTCTGAAGGCAACACATGAAAATGGCAGTTTGTAGAAAATTGATATCTAACTCTTAATGTTTACACACTATTAAATAAGGGTTTTGCGTGATCACGGTAACCAGCATATATTGGAGCAAATACGAATCGCTTTCTTTTGTAACAAATAAATAATATCAGAATTGCACTTAGTGTTTGCCCAAATTAAATTACAATATGAAATAAAAGGTAATATCATATTATTGTACATCATAAATAAGGTATTCCAAAGATAATGCCTATATTACGTGATATTTTTGCTGCAATATAATACACATGATCAGAGTTTCATTGATAAAAACTCCAAAAAATGTAGTACTTTCAGTCTTTTCAATAACCACATCATCCACTTTAATTTCTATAGGAGGTTCATCAGATTTTACATTCTGAAAATGAATAAAGTTTGTCTTTTTCAAATATAATGATAGTTTGTTGCATTTAAACCATACAGATAATTTGGTAATTCATTATATATGGTATTAATAAGGGAGTGAAAATTGGAATCAAAATAAAAAAATATGAAGGGAGTATCACAAAATAAGCTAATGTTTATTTTGCGCGTAAATGGACTCTCAAAAAGGTCTTGGTTTAATAATACAAAAAATAATTTTATAAATGTTTCCCTCTTTTAATCAATGGAGTGTCACACAACAGTGTGCCATAATAACTGACCCCTAAACATTATACTGCCACGAATAATATTTATACCAATTCATTTACCCCCCACCCAGGATATACTCATGATTCATTCCTGATAAGTAGAAGAAAGCTGAGCAGAAAAGAAAATCAAACAATTATTCACACTTTTTTGTTTATATATATTTTCTAAGAGGAAATTGCAAAGCAGCTTAGTTAAACAAAAGTTTGTTGTTGCTACCTGTTTCGATGACAGCAACAATAAGGCTCTTGCCTTTAAAAGCTGTTCCCTCGTTTTTGCATAGTTATTTTGCGATCAGTTTCAAACATTTTGTACATATAAGTATTCAATTTATGTTTACTTCAACTCGAAATTAAGAATTGAATATAAATCTCAATTACTCCGCTCATTGCATAAACGTATAGGCAAAACGTCGTTTGGGGGCTGACGTTTCGTGCCCGAATATAAACTTCCCCATCTTATGTATTAAACGAGCAAGGTACGAGCAAGGTACGAGAAATAGTAAAACTCTTTATGATTTAATTAATGACTTTACGTAATTGCAGTATCAAGATAACTATATTCCATATGATATCACGTTTTAAATATATAATATTAATGCCTGTGTGGTTACGATTGGTCGAGTTCAAAGTTCAAGTTCAAGTTAACATTCAATATTTTTCTTCCAATTTTCTTCCAATTTTCTTTCTTTATATTAACAAAATAGTCAAATAATATACATAAGTATGCATTTCGACATAAAATAATTTAGAAAAATGATATCAACACAAGGAAGGCATGCGTAACTACTATTATTTAATGCATAATAATGCTTGTGTCGGCTTCGCTTGTATAAAACAATATGAATATTGACAGTATTAAAATTTGGGGGTTCATTTGAATGCAGTCCAAAGCCCCACCTCGAAAGCCTACAGGTGGCTTATTGTGTATGTATATTATTCGCCCTGTCAATTTTTGTCGTTACAATAATAGTCTCAGTGAAGTTCAACTGAATTAAGTTTCAGTGTCTGCTTTCTTAGTGTTCACCATATTTGATGATTTCATATCAATTGCTCAGTTACCACCAATGCCTTTCCAGTCATTTCAATAACATTTGTCTACAATGTCCTTCATAACCACTTTCCAATCGATGTGTCTTTCTATGTAGCATTTAACTTTCTCGTATGAGGATCCACCAGCTCTGCATAAGATCTAGTCTTCAGTTATTAAAGAGCATACAGTTTATTGGATCTTGCTGTATGTTGTTTCATGACACCATTAGACAACTCAGCAACACACCTCTTATCTAGCAGTGAATCTAGCAAGGTTGCTTGAGGTGCAGAAACCTTCTTCCCATGTCACATTCAAATCAATCACGTCAAAGAGTGTTCAAACAATGTATTCGGTCATTCGCTTCTTCTTGATAGAAGATTTCTGCAGCTTTTTCAAGAGTTTATCGATGAAATCTTTGGGATGTAAAACCAGAGCTAGCTCTGTTTGAGCAGCCGTCATCCTGTGTTTTACCTACAGACAAAATGAGAGGTAAAAATGCTATCATAACCGTGGTAACTGACAAAGACAGAGAAAGAAATCTTGAGTAAAGGAGAATATAGTACGATACAACAGCTGACATGTTTGTTTCGCTCTTTATATTTTGTTATTTACCAGTCTTCATGAATGGCAAAGTGTAATTTCTATTTCAAATAAATTAGGTCGGAAAAATACATATTTTTAAAGTCATAGTTTGATAGGAATATCGCAGGTCATAAATATGAGCAATGAAGAAAATATGATGTGCAATCTACCATAATAGTAGGCCGCTATTGACATTTGCAGGAATAAAAAACACACACACAATCATGATCTAGATATAAACCTATTTAACATTTCACAGATAGATTATAATGTTTAAAATTGATTTTAATATGATTGATTATTTATTTTACCCGACTACTAAGACTTTGTAAGCAATCAGTTGACCTGCGATCCTTAGCCCTATAACTGAAGGGCTTGGTAATGGAATTAAAGCCATTAGGTGTACTAGGGCAATGACGTTGTTTCGAACCTGGGACCTTTCCTAACCCTGCTCAACCACGGGGCCTACATACCTCATCTTTGCCACATGATTGAATGCTGACGGGTTGGTGATCTAGCTCTGTGATGATCCATTTCTGCTTGGGGCATTTTCTGATGTGCTGGTACAGGTCCGCTCCTTCATACACTTCCGTGATCTTCATAATAATAATAATAATAATAATAATAATAATAATAATAATAATAATAATAATAGATTCTTATATAGTATAGCGCACTATATTTATAAAGTCTCTTTGTGCTTAATATAATAGCCTATGGTAGAATTTTGACAACTTTATTTCAAGAGATGATTAAAAATGCAAATAATATAGACTTGGTTATTGAGATAGATTATTCTACACATAGGTGGAAAGATGCACATTATACACATGAATAGGCATATGATTATTAACAAATCATCAAATTGCATTTTTATTATACGTCCGTAAAAATGACAAAATGAATGATTACAGAGAAATATGAAGACCACGAAGTAAAAGGCTACATAATAAAGCAGAATATGATAAAGCAAAGCAAAACATTTTTATTGAGATATTTCAATGAATTGAATTGAATTTGTAGGGCAGTATCTAACGAAGCATGAAAATACAATTTGTTTTAAAGCATAGGGATCGATCTACAATTGAAGGAAAAATAAATAAATGAACAATGAATGAATGAATGAATAAATAAATGAATAAATGAAGGAATGAATTAATAAACATATTAGTAAATAAATATAAATATATAAATAAACGAAAGAATGAATAAATTGATACAATAAAAAGTGAGTAAAGAACTTGATAAATAAGTAAAAAAATAAGTTTGAATTAAAAAAAAAAAATATGGATGAATTAATTTAGATAAAACCAAGAATTTCGATGAAGATGAATAAACTTTAAATCAGCTAATAAAAGCTGTGATCAATCCTAGATGCTAGGTGAGACACTATAATAATTGTTCTGTAAACGATGCTGAAACTCTACGTAGTGCAGTCAAATATTTTAATGAAAAAAAAATTCTCTCGCTAACTTTTCTGATCTCTTAATACTTTAATTAGTCATTCTGTCAGAGTCAATTGCGCTTTAACTAAGGCAGTTGAAAAAAATGCATTTCTGGTGATAGTTTTGACTTGGTATCGCTTACCTCATTCTTGATGACGTCGAAGCCCCATGGCTGAGTTCTCTTCTTAGTAAGGTGAATGACCTCAGCATTCGGCAAACGTTTCATACAGAGTTTAACCTAAGGCGGGATAGAGAACAAAAATAAATGTATCAATGTGTGAAACCTCAGTCGCTCCGCCAATCAGACTCCACTTAGACCGATTATAGGCCATTTAGTGCAGTCTTATATTTGGTCTCTTTTCGGTCTGGTGTAGGTCTAATTGTGACAATTCCCGAATGGAGACACCCGGCGGTGCCATTCAAAATTCCTCAAAAGGACATTTTCCCCGATTTCTAAAGATGACAAATAATCCGGAATGTTATATAAAGGTTAAAATGTCGGAGGACACTTTCATAATTATGTCAGCTCTGTAGGTCAGTTCATTATGTTCATGGGGAATCTAAGAAAACAAAATCACTGCTTCCTGACTTGTCAAGGGGAGAGGTTAACAAGGGAGTGACAAAGACTACTAGACACTTCTAGTTCTAGCAATGAAATTAAAAAGAAAATCACGTAACCCCCCTTCCCTGCTCGACAAATGTAAACTTGACCCAAAATTACCCCATAAATTGAATTCCACAGGAATTAGACAAATCTTAATGCTATTAGCGAACTTCTAAAACATAATCCCCTTCTCATCCATTGTCCGCATCGGCATAAACCAATCTCCACCAATGCCATCTCCTCCTTTAGGTGCAAGACATAGATGACGTACTCTCTTAAAAAAAAGAGTGAATTTTTACTCTATTTTCACTTCCTTGGGAGTGACGTCCGTGATCACTTGTTTAGGAGTGAAAATCGATTGATTTTAGAGTGCTCTCTAAGAAGAAAAGAGTGAATGTTCACTCTATTTTCACTACATTTTCACTCTCCAGAGGAGTGACGTCCGTGATCACTCGTTTTTTTTAGAGAGTACGAATTCTTACATCACGCCATATCTTTGGTTTGCAGCAGGTCGAAGAGATCGCGAAATAAAGAGAGCTTTTTTAAAATCCTAAAACCAACCAAATTTTTGACTACGGACTTTACTGTATAAAAAAGCAAACAACAAGCTTACTGTTTCTGTAGATGATGACTGGATGACAGTTCGAATGATTGGCAAGTCCAAAGCTTGTTGTTCGTTCACCTGAAGAAGTTGATCACCTATGTGGATAGATTCTTGGAATCTACCATGTAGAGACATTGACTTCTTCCATGTTGCAATGCTATGTTTTAAAAGAAATAATGAGTCGACTGTTCAAAATGATCATTACTTTAACATATACGTTACCGAATCGGCAGACCTTTTGCTAAAAGTTAGCCATTAGTTACTATGGTTTGGGCACCTTTTTACAAACTCTTTCTCGGTACATACATTATGTCTACTTTCAGAAAACACAACATTTATATAGGTTAATAATATCTGCGTGGCAATATGGATAGATTTAAAATGTATTTCTGAAGCAAAATGCTTATCAAGAGGTAATTAGTCAACTTTAATCGTAGAAATTTAGTTCTCAAACGTTTTATCGCGATTTTGTTGATATAGAGATAATCTAAAAGAGATGAAATTGTGGCCAATCATAACAGAGTATTTCGATATTACGACACAAGTTGAATTGAAAAGTTTAGTCAAACAACGAAACCCACTTACTAAACGCTTGAGTTGATTTGCACGAAGACGAGTCCTTCAGCTACATGGTCCTTCTTCAACTCAACAACGACTCGATCCTTAACCTGTTCATCCTTCAGAACTCTGTGAACAGCAATCACCGAGTTGAAGGATCGCAATGGCTCCTCGCTGCAAGCAATAAAGAAGTATATCGCTACCAATTTTGAAAAATGAAAAATACAGTCACAAATAAAATAACATGTTTTTAGTTGACATGGGCCAATGTCAAACACGGGCGTTTCCATAATTTATCCATAAGATTATCAGGGCTCACGAGGCATCAAGCTTTGCTTATCTTGGAGCCTTGGCCAGTTCCCTTTAAAACAAGTTCATATTTCTTTATTTAGGTTTTAATGTATACTGATTTTATTTTGTGTTCAGAACTGAAAAAGAATAAATGAAATGAAATGAAATGAAATAAGATCAATGGAGAACCAAGCGAAATGCATGTTCCTTAAACAAAATTAGTGAATCGAAATGAAATATTTATCAATTACATTTATATTAATAATTTCGGAATCAGATGAATTTATAAAGTACTAAAAAGGGAATTGAGAGTCATTTGTGATAATGTGATGATAAAGTAGCATAATTTAGCCTTTTTAAAATTAACATTAATATGTCCTCATAGAAGTTATGTAAGAAAAGTAAAAACTCATTATCAAAATTTACACTCCGTACCTGACAAGATGATGACAATCACTCGACCGATTATCATCATCATCGCTATCCGATTCTATACTGTCATAGATGTGGGTTACAAGTGGTTTGCGTGATGGTGACATTGGTTTATGTGATGGTGACGTAGGGGCCGGTTTACTTGACGGGGGATGCACATGAAAGGCACCAGCAGCAGATCGTGTACGGTCAATTCTAGGCCCCACTGTAGAAGGTTTCAAATACCCTCGACCTAACGTAGCTGATGCTGATAAGATGGGGGGCCCTGATATTCTCAGCTGATCCATCTACGGATTAAACACATGTGTCATCTTTTTGCAACATAGAGTTTTGCATTAGATTTGTAGGTTAAGTTCTTTTTCATTTGCTACATCATCATTTTACGAAGTACTATTCATCATATTCAGAAATTATACAAATTGAAAAATTTAAGAGATCAAAATGAGATACATCTATACCGATTGAATTTTGATATAGTTTATTTTAATTTGTTCAATGAACAAAATAATGATACATACATGAATTGAAGAAACACAATAAGATACATGTCTAAATATTGATGGCAACAGATGATGAAAGGGAAGGAGAAAACATACAGTGTTGGACAAAATTGGAGGTGAAATATGGTTAAATCCAGTGAAAAGCAGGGCTTGCATACAGGAACTCCCTCGCCCTTGGATGAATTAATTCATATAATGATGAACAGCCATGTTACAGAGAGATATATATATAGAGAGAGAGAGAAAGTTAGAGAGACAAAGATGGATAAATAGAGAGATAGAGATAGAGAGAGAGAGAGAGAGAGAGAGAAAGAGAGGGGGTGATGTAAAATGGGGAGAAAAAGAACGAAAGCGCGAGAGAGAGGGAGACAGAGGGGAGGGAGATGGAGAGGGGCGGGGGGGGGGGGAGAGAGGGAAAGAGAGAGAGAGAGAGAGAGATGTTGTTGTTATTGTTGTTGTGTGATTTGTTAGGGGGCAGTATGGTGTGCGTTCACACGCTCGTGTGTGTGGGTGTGTTGGTATACATACGTTTGGTGTAAATATCTCTTCATTAGATCGGCTTTTCTGTCTAGAAAGCTGACGATGAGCGAATGTTCCAGGTTGGCATATTTCGGGTTTTTCATCCATATTAATTTCCACCATGACGCCGTAGTTTCCACCACTGCCTAAAAAAACAATGAGTTTAAATAAGTTGTGTATTACAATTTTTTCTTCACCATGTATCACTTTAATATGTAACTTCCGATAAAATGCCAATTAATACAACAAAACAACTAAAACAAATTGTATTCCATAGACAATAGACTAAATGCAAAACAAGGCAAGATAAAACACATCAAAGCGAAACAAAAGAAAAAAATATAAAAATAAAAAATGAAAAGATTGATTTACTAAGTAGAATCTTCAGGTGATAATGAATTGTATATTAGTTTTATGTCAGACAGACAGACATAGGCATGTCACTACAAAGTCCTACCTTACATATATTGATCACGATATAATGTACCTTACAACTAACACTGCAATTTCTCTAAAGTCATGTGCAGAATATTAGCTTCAGAAAAAGTGCGCGCGTGTGAGTGTGTGCGTGTGGGGTGTGTGTGTGCATGTGTGTGTGTGTGTGTGTGTGTGTGTGTGCGTGTGTGTGTGTGCGCGTGCGGGTGTGTGGCTGCTCGCGCATTGGTCGGTTTGTGAGCCCGTTAATATGTGTTTGTATCAGAGATGTATTTTGGGTTTTTAGGTGTTGTATTATACCTTTTTTATATACGCTCTTTCGGGTTTTCCTCTTTTCGAGTTGACGAGTTTCTTCAGCGGCATCAGCTTCTTCATCGACATCAATGACATCGGGAAGTAGGTGTGAAGGTGCTGGTTCTTCCTGATCGTCTGCATCAGGCGATGACCTATGAGGAGCATTGCGGCTTTTCTCACGGGTATGCGAAGGGGAGACATGACAAGTTCTGTGCGGAGTAGAAGCTCCATCCTGTACCCAGAGCAAAAATAACAGTATTGATAGAACACGATATACTGTTCGGGTTTGTCTCAATCGAACCACTCGAGGATTCAAATCTTGAAAAAGCACTATTTGCATGTACCTTATAGGGACATGACTGATATATATATATATATATATATATATATATATATATATATATATACATTCACCACTCTCATGTTCACTACCAATACCATCAGTATTTACCTCAACTAGCCTGTACATTATGTACAACAAAACTAATTATCCACCTCATACTGCTGCTGCCGCTTATACAACTACCACTGTTGCTACTACTACTACTACTACCACTACTACTACTACTACTACTACTACTACTACTACTGCTTCTACTACTACTGCTACTACTAATACTACTACTACCACTACTACTACTACTACTACTACTACTACTACTACTACTACTACTACGACTACGACTACTGCTTCTACTACCACTGTTACTACTACTACTACTACTACGACTACTACTACTACTACTTCTTCTTCTACTACTACTACTACTACTACTACTACTACTACTACTACTTCTTCTACTACTACTACTACTACTACTACTACTACTACTACTTCTACTACTACTACTACTACTACTACTACTACTACTTCTTCTTCTACTACTACTACTACTACTACTACTACTACTACTACTACTACTACTACTACTACTACCACTACTACTACTTTTACTTCTAATATTACTAATACTACTCCTACTTGAAATTTCTTATAGCTCACCGGTTCTGTACTTGCTTGGATGGTATGTGTCTCTTTGGGTGGTGTGGTGATGCTCGCTACATACATAAATGCTTCTCGCCATTTCTTCAACTTTTGGCTGGTGTGAGGTAGGAAGATAACGTGAAATTTGGGATTAGTACTGGGATAATTTCCTAAATTCGAAATTCCCTGTAGCCTGTAGCCATAACCCATGTTTGAAATCCACGAATTCTGTCGGGGAGACTTCGAAAAATAGCAAGAGCCCTCGGAGCGTAGGACAAACTTTCACTAAGACTTGCAAGCTTTTGCGATGAGAGTATACAATGATTGTGGATACCAGGCGGTTTTAAACGTTCATTCGTGTATCCTTAGATGTGGTGTGATGTGATGGTTATTTTACCTGCTAAGAAAGCATAAATGCTTGTAAGTAAGCAACCAGACGACCGACGGCTTTAGGTCCTCTCCGAGGGACCTGCTAGTGAGGATTAATGCCTTACCAAAGGGCACTGAGCTATCGCGCCTCCTCCATAGATCATGATTAATGTACAGCTCCTAAATTACTTTAAATTAAATCGCCCGATGGCAGCGATGGCGGTTTTTATGATAAGGTATAACCCTACATTGTATTGAAAATGATAAAAGCTTTCAAAGTTGCGACGGAAAGCTTAACGATATAAATAGCATATATTACATGTACAGTATTGATTCGATATTCTCATTTACGACATAATTGGGGAAAACAATCTAATTTTCAAGTGATGACGAAATATCTCCAAACAAAATCGAATAAAAATTAACTTATTAAGTTCGGAAAAGCATAGAATAAATGCAATCTAATCCCTCCTGGCCAAACTAGTGCAGATAGGCTTTAAATAGTTAAAGATAACTGAAAGGATAATTTACCTGAGTGGTTTGAAATAAAGCGGTTTTCCCTCGTGGATGACAATGAGGATGGTATCACAGTACTTAGTATCTCCCTGTGCCATGATGATCCGATGAACTTTCATTGATCCATTGAACGTGTAGGTGTTTGAAGGGTCACCACTGGAGAACTTCTTGACATCCTTATAACGGCACAGGACGTAAACCGTCTCATGAAGGCACTTGAGGGCGTAGTATCCAAGGTTCTTAGACTGCAGGTAGAGGGTTATATTGAGTAGTTGTAATGCGATTGTCACATTAAATATTGCTTTGGTAACTCAGTTCTGCCCTTTCAATACTACTGCTACTACTACTACTACTACTACTACTACTACTACTACTACTAGTAATAATAAAGTGGTCTTAATGACACAGGGTAGCCGCATTAGTATAAATACTGCTCTCCATGTAGGCTCGCAGTTATTATTTCCATTGTAGCAACTGTATTATGAAACTATCTTTAAGAAGGCATCGGGAATAAATGATTTTCTTTATGTACATGTAGTTGAAAATTTGTCTAAAATGTACCTTTGGTGAAGAAGTAAACAGTGAGTATGTATGCACACAAACATTGGTATACCATGTAAATGGGCATACACACAAGTGGCATCAAAATTTAGTCCACAGGTTTTGAAATTTCATTTTTCTAATCACATTTACTGCCATTATGTTCCTTTACACAGGTATAAGAATGATACAGCTCAATTATTAGTCAGTCAACAATCTTAAACTTGACAAAAATTGGTCGGGCTTATGTAATCTTTAGACCACAAACATACTGTACAAAAATATACAATTAAATAAAAGACGACGTGGGATGAAGCAAGAAAAAAAAATGGGAGAGAAGGAAGGAAAGAGAGTGGAAGATAGAGAGATGGGGAGAGAGAGAGAGAGAGAGAGAGAGGGGGGAGGGAGAGAGAGAGAAAGGAAGGAAGGGAGTGAAAGAGAAAGCGATAGAGAGAGGGGAAGAAAACAAGAGACAGAGAGAGAAAGAAAGAAAGTGAGAAAGCGAAGGAGAGAGAGAGAGAGAGAAAGAGAAGGGAGAAGATGAAGGGCAGAAAGAGATGACAGACGATGTCTAAGGCTACTTACTTTGAACATCAAGGTAGACCCACCGGTCTTCAGAGAGACTTGTGTTCCTTCAACCAAAGACCCGTGACATATCAAACGGTCCCGACCAATGAAACTTGCCATCTTGGTACTCCGCTTCTTACCTGATCTCAGACTCACGAAATCTCATCTCTCACACGACTGAACTAAATCAGGGATAGGAAATAATCAGTAGAAAATGGAACGATATGAGATGAAAGATGCATGTTAATCGGCGTATCGTGCATGGACCCAGCCATTCAATGGACACTAGCGTCATGGGGAGGGTGGAGGGGGTGGGGGGGGGGGCACTGGAATATTGAGTGGATGAAATGCAAAAGAACAAAACCCTAAAGTGTAAGGGATAGGTCATTTCATCTATACTGTTAATGTTACCTTTGCCTTTTCCCGTATTCAGCCATTCTATCGGAGGTGCACCAGCTTTTTGCTACAAGTTTACAACAGCCTTCTGTTTCTCAACACTGTTTCTGACATGTGGTTTCTTTTTTCATGCATTATATCTGATGTTAAATACAATCATTATGCAATATTATACTCATGAACTTACTTCAATTATTTGATAATGTGTAATAATAAAAATAATAATAATAATAACAATAATATACCGTACTTATATAGCGCATATCACAATATGTCTCTATTTGCTGTAATAGGTTGGTTCTGACAACCGCATTGTTATCTGTATCAGATTCAATTTCAATGTGTAAATTATGTATGTTATGTTTCTGTTTGTATTTTTAAATGTATTTGAAATCCAACTTTTGGTTCCAATAAAGGAAAAATTATAATAATAATACATATTAAATTGTATAAGTTTGCACAAATGCCATTTCATATTAAAGGTACATTGTGTTTTCATTGCTAAGTTAAAAGGGTTGTATCACATCAGTGCTACCTAACTGGAAGTACATTCTAATAATATTTTGACATTACAAGTTCTCTCTTTGCTCAGCTATTATTATCAGTTGGACTGGTGGCGATACTTTAACATTCAACAAAATATTCCATAAACCAAACCAACACGAACTGTTCTTCAATTCATTCTAACGTAATCGCGTAGCGAGAGTAATTAATCAAAGCGCAGAAAGATATATTTTTTAAAAATTAATTTGCCATATGACGTTTTTTATGGAAAGAGGCTATCATAAATTTATGAAATATTAACAAAAAGAAAAGTATGGATTTTAAATTTAGATCCATCTGTTAACTTTAGGAATAAAGGTTTGTTTTTAAATAAAAATAAATAAATATGTAAAATGAATATATAAATATCATAGTGCAAATATCATAGTGCAAATGTTTAGCAAAATAATTGATTTTCCCATGAATTCCCCCTTTTCATTCAAGCCCAGCTTCTTTTCTTTGTGTAAAATTGGTTACGCACATAGAGATCCGCGTTGCAAAGTATTTGTTGTTGTTGACAAAATGTGATGTAAATTTTCCTCCAGCTTTTTTTATTTACGGAAGAGAGAATTAATTTCAGTTTTTCCCATATCTATAAAATGATGAAACAAGAGTTGATGTTTTGTAAAACGTGTGAGAATTAAAAAAACCATCGACATTTAAAGACATTCAGAGAGTTTTTCAGTCTGCACTTCAAACCATGCAAATTACGAAATTATTAACCATGAAAAATTCTTAAAAATATATTTTTTTGTGGAAAAACAAACAAGTATATTGGATGACATAATTCGGCCAACACAGAAAATATTGAGCTCTATATGTAAACAGTATTAGACCCGTCTCCGACTCGTCCAGTATGTCGGCGTATTTCATCCAATATTTCCTTGTTTTGACCTCAAGTCCATTCAATATTATAGAAATATTCCACAAGGGAATTTAGTACAGAGAAATGAGAAGGTTCGGGAAGTGATTATGAAAAGCAATTCAGAAGGGATGACATCAAACGTTTATTTATAGAAAATGTAGAAGATGAAGGTATTAGAGATGATTTATGCATTTGAGTAAAAATGACAAAAAGAAACGCACGGTTCATAAATTAATGTCATGGTTAAGTTAAGAACACATTATCCATGATTTATTAGTTTCGAGTAGAGATTAAAAACAGAACCTATTATAAAACGTAAAGTGGTAAATGGCTCGAATCCTCTGACTCTTAAAGGAAATCATTCTCTAAGGTACTTCAAGAATGGAAAGTACATTGTTGCTCATAAATGTTTGTTTTTCAATTCTTTTTTACAGGATTGATTGTGAGAATATGATTTAGTCTCGGAAATAGTTTTTAATATCTTCTCAGAACTTGCCGTATCAGTCTAAAAAGGCGTAAAGATTTATCAATGAAATTCTAAGAAGAAATAAACTTAATCTAAGAAGAATAAAGCTTTTGTCACAATCACGTCACGAAAAGAGGCACAAAAAAGACATTCTAACTTCATCGGCAACAGTATATATGAACCTTTAATGCGTTCTTAGCGAAGCGTATGTTCATGCCAAACTCCGTGCTCCCGACCGTACGGGCAGCATCGGGGTCTGGTCTCATCGTAATGCCGAACTAGGACTGTCTCTTTTGATTTCGCGCGTAATGAAAATGGCTCCAAATTTCTTCACTGTTCATCTGTCACTGTGATGTCATTAGCATATTCCGAAATATTGTATTTTGCAAAATGAAATTATTATAATAAAATGTATCGGTCTTTTCCCAGATGTCTCCTCAATACCTGAAGTTGGAATGATTCTTCTCACCTCTTTAAAAAAAAAATGACTGTAACAATAATGTTTTACTATTGATAAATAAAGTTCATATCTTCCCAGATATTTGATAAATCTCTATGACTCTGCATATTGATCAGTACAGTTCTTAGCAGATACAATTTTTTTTCTTTCAAGAATAACCCATATTCTCACAACCACGTCATGAAAAGAGGTATATCTTAAATTTATGAGCAACAGTGTGTATGACCCTTCAATGCGCACTTGGCGAAATGTATGATCCCGTGTATTTTAGTTTGTTTTCAGAACTGAAAAATAAGTATTGATGGCATGTCATGCTTTCCCTCTAGACAGCTACCTCCTCAAAACTCTGGCTTACTTGTTATTCCAAGGGTTAAACAAAAAGTGGGGGGGGGGGGGAGGCGAACCTTCGCTAATGTTGGGCCTTCATTGTGGAATACCCTCTCTCAATGGATTAAAATAGCAGTTCTGGTGAAGTGTTAAAAAACAATCTTAAGAAATATCTGTTTAATCTAGCTTACAATTGATTACCATTACCTTTCATGTATGTACCTTTCCTATAGCACTTGTGTATATATTTATCATGTATTTCATCTTTTGCACAAGCTGCGCCTTGAGCATTTGATTGTTAAATGGATTTGGCGCCATACAAATCTTATGTATTAGTATTATTATTATTATTGTCTTGTTTGTATCGCCCCGCTTTCCCCATCTTTGCTGTTCCCTGTATTTTTTACTTCATGATAGTATGATATTTTATGTTAGGGAACCTAAATTAAAAGCTTTGCTTTCCTACGATAACTTCCGCAATACAGCAAGCAATTATTATCCTAATCTCAATCGATACGAATACTGTCTTTTACTGCATTGCACGTAACATATTATGTATATTTCTCGTTTGTTAATATTTTGATTGGAATGATTTTGTACAAAGAAAAGCTTTGTAAATTTAAATTGCTGTTTTTGCAGAAATGAATGAAATGAAATGAAATGGTGTAATGATAACTTCCTACAGTTAAATGCCTCACAAAGAGTTGATATTTGATTTTAGAAAGGCAAGGGGATCTTGTATTGACCCAGTTCAGATTAATGGTGTTGATATTGACATTGTGGAAAAACATACCTTCCTAGGTATAGATGACAAATTATCGTGGACAGAACAATGTTAGGTACAACGGGAAAAGCATAGCAAATAATGTATTTCTTGCTAAGCAATATTGATTATTGATTATCAGCTGATTGCTGGTTGCTACTGGTTAAAAATGAAGTCCTTCCATGTGGATTGGACGATATTTAATTTGTTTTATGTTTCAATAGTACAGAGTGTTCTTTTGATTCATTTCTATTGTATGGTTTGCAGGTTGTAGAAAAGCGGGTCTTGAGAAACTGTAAAAAAAATCCAAACATGCAGAAAGAATCATTGGCATAAAGCAGGACTTGGGGAAGATTGTCACTGGAAAATTGTCCAAAAAGCCAAAGAAATTTATGAGAAATGGCAATCATCCGTTATTTTCTTTCCATGAATTTCTCTGATCAGGGAGAAGATTGAGGTCTCTGAGATGTAGGACACAGAGTGGTGTACAAACACATTCGGTCCGTATTCAATCAGGGCATGTAACCAAATATAACGCGTTTTGTTCTTACCAGCGTTTCTGCTTTTTAAAAATAAATATTATGTTTCGTTAGGAAATTAGTAAAGTTTAAGGTGTAGTATACGGTAATCATTGGCCCTAAAAATCGGTATTTACATTTTCAATTTATCAGATTTATTCCGATATATTCAGTTTGAACGCTTAATTTACGATAAGTATAGTAGTAAATAATTTTTTTGTTTATAAATATGCATAAATACACTTAAATTACATAACTTAAGGAAACTAAAGAAGCCATACCGAACGAGAATCATTGTTACGTATGGATTTTTTTATTTTTGTCATCACCAAAATGTATCCATGTTCTGTATCGTATTTCTGTTATCTGTAAACTTAATCTGAGCCTTTACTTTTACATGTGAGCAAACCAAATTACCATGTCGAATGATATTTGGCAAATCAATACATTGAATTGAAAAATGAAATATCAGTCTACGTGCTCCGGCATTGAGTCTGATCTCATTGTCTCTCGTGATGTCTCCTACATATACCTCTCTAAATGCTCACAATGGGCTTTATATTTGACGTACATGGATTGGTAAAATAGAATTACACAAGCTGTATCGAGGCAAACAATGTGATATGACTATAGTATAGGTACCATGTAACTACTAACAAGTAGCACTGTACATGATATAAGAAAATTCCACTACTTTGACAATCCCATTGGTGGGCTAGGGGCGTTATACTTTACCATGAAACAATTATATACCCGTATATTGATACTAGGAAGGGAATGTGAACACGTATATACATACAAATACATATGTATTTATCATATCCATGTCAGCATATATATCGTACATCCACCAAATCAATATAATCTCGACATACAGTAGCGGGTCTGCAGGGGGTGGGGGCTCAAGCCCCCCTTCCGAAATTCTTCAAGCCCCCAAGTTTCGTGATCACATGTAGAAATGAATGCAAGAACCCATAAGCCACACAAACCCCCAAGCCCCGATCCTCTAAGCCCCCTCCCAATATTCTCCTAGAATCGCTCCTGGAAATAGCATTTTGGGTGTGGATATGATGTTTGCGTGCCTATACCACTGTCCTGCATAGTGATGTCTTTTACCATTTCCATGTGACCAACTATGTTAGACCGATGCTTGTTTTAGTTATAAAAAGAAACCCTCAATCAATAAATGAACCGATGAATTGAAGTAAATCAGCATTCAATAGTTAAATAAATCTCAATCTTACCTGGTGGTCGTGTTTCCAGTGATTCACAAACCTCTCTAGACTTAGACTCCTCAGTAAAATACAAGAATACAATATCCAGAAACACCCAAACTATGTTGCAAAACAACTACATTAACTTGTGTATATGGGACTACTGCTGAAGTAATTGTTTGTGAATTCGAATTTCATGCATTCACTTCCCTCTAATAGTAATAGCCTGGGAACAATTCACCGTGCCAAACAGACTCGTACATAACACCAAACGATGAATAAGCAACCAACCGAAGAAGGTTTCAATTGAATTTCAAGATTTGATATCGTTGCACAATGTGCACAATATGCGCCTGATTAAACGATCCAGATCAGTGGAAACTGGAATACAATAATGTTTAGTTCTCTTGCATGTAGCGAGTCTACATGATTATGTCCTCTGTCATGGCAATACGCAATGTCGACGAAGGTGAATGAGAGAGAGAGTAATATCAAACGGGACGGAGAGTTTAATGAATCCATATCTCCTAGTATGAAAGATGTGTCCCTATTTACTAATTGATATCAAATGAATCTGAGTCCTTGTCCTAGACCTTGATATAAATTTCCTTGTAAAATTAGAATATAGACCCAGTTCAACCCAATAGCGGGTTTGAAGTTAAAGAATACGATCCAAAGTGCTAATACATTATTCACTTCATGACTGATTTAATTCCTTTAATCATAGACTATTCTTGGTTTCTGCATTTCTAGAACGTGATATTTTCATTTCTAGGGGATAGTGGATCAAGGGTTTAAGCATTAGTCTTGAACAGTAAAGGTTGGGGTTCGAAACCAAGCCATTACGCCTATGTCTGACAGTGTCATCACCCCCTCCTCCTCTTCCTCCTCCTCCAAAGACATGAGACATTTCAACGTGCTCTAATTCTCGATTAACAAATTCATATAATAGCCATTGAGTCTGTTACCATTTGGTATGAATCGACATTATTGCCTGTGTATTAACCAGTTGGTAATGAAAAGAAATGGGTTCTCCCTTAGATAGCTATATAAACAAAAAGATCATCAGATAATTATGATTGAGGATAAGCTTGGTTTGGTTCAGATGAAATTATGTTCTACAGTGTTTTACCCCCGTCACAAGAACAAAAATAGACCCACCGATGGTCTATACAACCCTGGCGATATGGGGTAACATAATGATCGGTCTATTGACGGTCTGATCGGTGTGACCGGGGTATCAGGCTAAGGCAACAGCGGCAACAAAGAATGAAACAAATCAAACTTCTCGTTAAAAACTCCTCGCTTTCGAGTTCTAACATCGAACGAACGAGTCAGTCAATACAAGCTTGATTCTTCTCAGTGAACCCAGACAAAGGAAATCACCTCTTTTTCCTCGCTCTCTCTCTATCTCTCTCTCTCTCTCTCTCTCTCTCTCTCTCTCTCTCATTCTTTCTTTTCTTCCCACTCGTGTGTACGACCTTTGCTTTGATATATTGAAGTCAGTTCTGGTTTTATTTTCCCCTAATTTTTCCCAACAATGACATCATTTTTGAGTGGAAAGTTCCTCAATCAGAAACCCAGTCTTTACACTTAGCCTGGGAGTGTGATTCTGTCCCTCTTTGCCAAACTCCTATGGCGTAATACAATTGCGAACTCTTAAAGGCTGCCGTGGTAATTGCTTCGTGGGAAAATAACTTTTACATGCATTTGACAAAGTGTATTTAAATATATATCCCTGGCCTTTGTAATTTAGCATTAAGAACATTTTGATTTCACGTTCCTATTATATGCAATGATACACATAAAACGTTATACATTGTACTTGGTTCCCTTTTGACCTGACGTAAGGCCTACAAGATGTGATAATACACCATCAATACTCGTTAGTCCCTAAACAGAATGTGAAACTTCAACATGCTTGGGATAATTTACTTGATGATATAAATCATAATTCTCAGATTTATTTAGCATATTAATGGCAACCGTAGCGAGTTGGAGAATAACAAATGAAAGATTAATGACAGGTCATTATGACATGCTGCCCGATTCTTCGTTATGCTTATGTTTATTCTTTTCCTTTACAGTAATAATATGTTGCGATATAATTTTTTTAAATTTTGTTTTGTGATTGATATGTATGTTATGAGTGCTTGGAAATGATAAATATGAGCCTGAGTTTAGTTCTTCTTCTTTTTATGACATATTTATGATTGTGGATTTATTTAGTGTCCTTCGCAAGATTTATTCTTTCTTTTGAATGCTTTATATTAACATATAACTTTTTGTAAACATACTCTTTTAAAGAAAGATGAAATATTCATACAAACCATGAAATACAGCATTCTAACGTTTTGAAAAAATCTGATATTTTGTCTGAAGCCCGGGAAACTGGTTTCATTATGTTTTAATTTTAAATTCTTTTTATGTAGCTTCATTCATTTCCCTTATCATTGCTATGTTAATGACTCTTGTGCGTTTTATGTTTCCTTTGTGTTTAAGCTTCTTAAATATCTCAATGTGTCATGAGCACTTTATAATTTTCACCTCTCTACCCATCTCTCTCTCTCTCTCTCTCTCTCCCTCTCTTCTCTCCCACATATCTGTCCATATATCCAACATCCAGGTCCCGTGCTTATGATGATATTTACATCGTTGGAATGAAAACATGAATTAATGATAAAAAATAAACCACAAAACATTGCCATTGTTCAAATTTTGTTATCAATTATAATTCTGAGTGTATTGCATCGCATTTGTCATGTTAGTAAAATATTCTTTAAGCTTAACTTTCTTTAAGCTTTAAACTTAAGAGTCAAGAGATAAATCATTATATATGATTTACCTCTTCATTCTCGATATAATAAACTATATATTATACATAACTGGACATAACAATATATTTACACACACACACACGCGCGCGCGCGCACGCACACACATATAAATCCATACATTTCGTTCAATACATCAACATGTCTAATCTCCATTTCTCATATATTTCATACTAATTTCCTTGGCGCTAAGCATTTGTAAATTGTTATCATATGTAGGCCTATACTCATCTTCATAATGTAATACTTTACGTTATATCTAAATATATCTCACACATACTTTAAGAACAATTGCATTAATACATTTTTCTATAGTCATGTAATTCAAATGAAAATCCAATCATTATTGTAATAAAGTTCTATAAATATTCAAATCAAGTAAAATGTATTCATATCTAAAAGGCATATACATTAATTCATTTTATTGGATATTAATAATAATTGATAACCATCGTTTGAATATGTATATTCAAATCCAACATACTAGATGTCTTATAGGGAAATATCAGCTTCAGCATTCGAGCTTTTTTTCTTCATATAAAAACATTTTCTTTATATCTCGGCGATGTCAGTAAAAACGAAAAAAAGAAATGCAAGAAGATGATTAGTCATAATGTCACAAAATGCATTGAAGCTTCTGAACATCCCAGTAGACTGATGGTCCGCGAGACCAACAGAGTGATCTATTGAACCTTCAGAAATTTGTCAAATCTTAGGGAGACGGACGTGTTTCGTGGGCCGTCGGCATAATGAACCAACGATTGCTAAAGCCACACGAGATCGACATCCTCGGTCTACAGTCTGTCGGTCTGTCGGTCTCGTGAATGTATCCTTCAAGGTCACCTCCATAATACCAATCTAACAGGTCACACATCCACAATCAATGTTTCGATTTTTCGATGGCCTTAATTGTTTAACCAGATCTTCCGAAGTCTTGTAGTTTAACTCAACATTACATCAACATGCATTATGTTTTATTATTATTTAATATATTGCAATAGTTTTCATCCAAAATGATTACGTTGCCTCTTAAGATAGGCATTCGCCGTCCTTCAAATTATTGGAGAGTTAAACGAATATCAAAAAACAACAATTACGTTATACAGTGGGTTTCTAGAGCTAAGCCGTGTGTCATGAATACAGAATTTAACAAGTTGAATAGGTACTTTACATGTGACCTGTATGTATCGGACCATGTAGAGTCTGGGTTTAGGCCGGCTCAAGAGAGACGTCTGCTGAGAGCCCAAACGGTGTTGAATATGATTTAAAGTGAATGAGTTAGCCCGCACTGGTTCTCAAGTAACAGTAACAGTTGGTAGTCGGAAATGTGTTTGATTATCCTCTTATTCTTCCTGAGGATGGCTATGAAGCCATCGATGAAGTCTTTAGGATGATGTGCAAGAGTAAGTTCTGTCATCATCGTCGTCATCATCGTCGGCCTCACACTAGAGTTGGTAGTCGGAGATGTGTTTGATAATCCTCTTATTCTTCTTGAGGATGGCTATGATGCCATCGATGAAGTCCTTAGGATGTAATACCAGAGGGAGCTCAGTATTTGATACAAACAGGTGATTCTTCACCTAAGTACATAGGAAAAAGAAATAAAGAAAATAGAAAGCAAGCAAACAATATAGTAACATAAGAACATACAAAGAAGAATGAAATTAGCTTATTAATACACATCGGGCATCTACAGTGAGTCATACTCAGGAGATCTCTTTATTCTACGGGTTATAGTCTTCTCTTAATCAGAACACTGTGCGCTTAGAAACATCAGTATAAAGCGCCTAATAAATGTTATGTATTATTATTATTATTATCTCCCTGGTCATACTCTAAACTTTCAACTGGAAAGTTTAGAGTTCGAATTCCTATCCACTTTGACATGCTACTGTTGTAGCTCTCCCCCTTTCTCGTCCAAGGAGTAGTACAATGATACTGACAGCCATGTAGACAGGAATGATTCATATGATTGTTCCCTTCCATAAGAAGAAAGGCAATGTTTGTTGAACTATCTATCCCTCTAATGTGGTATAAACATGCAAATGTCATGTATTTTCTGAATGTTCATACAGACTAGAATAATATCAAATGATGAAGTTCAATCAATCATTGAATGAAACCTTTCACCGACAACAAGTAGTAGTTTGCAGACACAAGCCACTACCAGAATGTCTGAACTACAAGTATATGCACACTGCACTAATCGGCACTGGGACCTACTTAAACCTGATAAATTTAGACTAGGCTCAATGCTTAATACATTTATTTAAATGTCACAGAGAGAGAGCCTATGACTGCCGATCATGATTCTACTCTTTACTATTAGAATAGATAGTTGACTACATAAAGCTATGTAATTGTACAATCAATGACTGATGCGATTTCGTAGTAAAATAAGATGTGATTTGTATAACTTACTTCATCTTTATCGCAAGTCATGATGGGTACCGGTTGGTGCTGACATTCAGTAACCACCCAGGTAGTCTTATGCCCAGTCGGACCGTATGGTGTTTCAGCAATCCCAGATTCTTTGAGTGGACCGGGGTACATTTTCACTAGCTAAATTAACAATTAGTCAAGATATGAAATAAG